CATAATTGCTGTATTCTCTGGTCCTTCTCATAGTGATGGATGAGGGAATTTGGCCTGTGTTTCATCTCTTATATATTCCCCAGTGAATCAGGAAGTAAAGGCCATTTAAATGTTCCTAACCACTCAGGTGAACTTAAAAACATAAAATATAAAAAGGAATATACTTCAGTTAGATTTCACTCTTAAGAATTTTAATTTAGGAAACTTTTTATTTCATCACATGATTTAGTTTTACCTTTCAATCATTATACCTTAAATAAAGTTTATATTTTTGCTAATATTTTAAATGAGATCAAAGGATAAGTAATTCAAAATTAAGAAAAAAAAATTACAGCTCATTTTTGCATGATTACCAGGGATGCCAATATTTGTCAATATATGTAGAGGTTTTTTTCTAAATAAAATATGAAATTTTAAACCATAATAAAAGATTAGGTAATTATGGTGATGGAATGATGAAATTTATTTATTTATTTTTTATATTGGGACATGCCTTGTGTTTATCTGTGTGCATTCCCATACAGTTCAATACTGCGCGAAAGACAGAGACCACCCTTCATTTATTCTATATTATAAGTATATATTATTTTCAGCGTGAGAAAAAAGGCATTAAACTTATATTAAACCAAAAATTACAAAGGAGCCTCAACAGCTAGATATAATATCAGAGTTTTCAGGATTTAGTTTGTCCACAAGTTGCCTTCATTACTTCTTCGAGAGACTTGCTTTCAGTTTTTCAAAAAAATCTACAGGGATAAGTTTCAACACCCCTCCAAAGTTCTGTCTTAGAAGTTAGTTGCATTTTTTGCTTCTCACAATCAAAGTAATCCCAAACGCACCTCAAAAGACTTTTATCTATTTCATTTTCTCTGTAACAGCTTCTTAATGACTACACATCCTTTCAGACCCGTGGCTTTGAGTTGCCTTTGAATTTGAAAGCCTCAAGTACTTCTAATGGTGATCGTTTTGTTAGGAGTCCCATTTTCTCCTGCTTTTTCGCCGAAGTTCTTTCACCTTCCTTATGCAAGTGGATTATCCAACATCCAGTCTCCTCTACACCTCATTCGCCAAGATAGCTTTGGGAACAGCTTTTACAGCTTTAACCAGCTGTAAATCTGATTTTAAGATTGTAAAGATAGAAGAATTAAAGAAACAGCAGGGTGTATAAAAATAAAGATTGGGCAAAATAAATACTGACCGATTTTATATTGTCCAGTGCTGGATACCCTGTGTAATTTTCTGTTAAGTAAAAAAGTTAAATATTTCTTTGCTGTTTTTTTCTAACATTGACAGATTTCTTAAAAATGAATTAACTGTACTTCATGACTGTTTTGATTGGAACTTGAATAAACAAAAGAGTCTCTGACTCTTGTGCAGTACTGAACATGCATGTGTGCAGAGGGACAGGTGCATGCATGTGTGAGTGTGAATGTGTGTGACTCTGAGCGTGAGAGAAAGTGAGTCACGGTGCAGAGTGAAATTGCTCTCCGTCCTCTTTGGGGGTTTGAGTATTATGCTTGGACTCCACTGAATACACTCTGGACAATACACTGAGCTTCCTGTGAACCGAGGCCTATTATTACACACTGAATGCTTCTCGTTCAGACACTTTTGTAGATCTCAGTAAGGTTGACAGCAGTAGCACTTTTCACCTGCTATGTGGGGCCCAAAGCTAATTGTACTACAGTTTCCCACACATAAAAACATCAGTAAAGGGCCAGAGTGATTGATTAGATGTTGAATACTGTTAGAATTATTCTTTTACACATTGGCTCAATAGATAGAGCTCAGACACCATACTGCAAAGTACGCATCGTGACATCACAGTGCAAAAATGTGACAATGCATGTCGTGGACTTGTGACAGTTAGGGCTGCAAGAGCTAATTAACGTTATTGATAACGTCGATAATAAAAATTGTTGACAGTGAAGTTTCTTAGCAATTAATTGTCATTATGACATCTGCGCTTCCCTTTTATATCACTTGAATGAAGCAGAAAACATACACCGATCAGGCAAAACATTATGACCACCTCCTTGTTTCTACGCTCATTGTCCATTTTATCAGCTCCACTTACTATATAGGTGCACTTTCTAGTTATACAGTTACAGACTGTAGTCCATCTGTTTCTCTGCATACTTTGTTAGCCCCCTTTTACCCTGTTCTTCAGTGGTCAGGACCCCCATGGACCCTCACAGAGCAGGTACTATTTGGGTGGTGGATCATTCTCAGCACTGCAGTAACACTGATGTGGTGGTGGTGTGTTGTGCTGGTACGAGTGGATCAGACACAGCAGTGCTGCTGGAGTTTTTAAACACTGTGTCCACTCACTGTCCACTCTATTAGACACTCCTACCTTGTCAGTCCACCTTATAGATGTAAAGTCAGAGACAGGAATATACAGATGGTGGAGACTACAGCATTTTGCACGACTCAAAACATAAAAAAACAACGCTTCATTTGAACATCATCTAAAAAGATGTTTCCTGTAAAATATGTAGAACTGAGCTCGCCTTTGGGGGCAGCGTGACTGTCATGCATGAGGATCTAGAGAAAAGATTTGCAGCAGCAAATGCATGATGAGGAAACCACAATAAAACTGTTGTCAAAAGTGAAAAACATTGTGTTTTGGTTTAACAAAATCCACACTGTTGGCTGAAGAGATGATCTGCATTTTCAGATAAACTACATGGCTAAATTATTCTCTGTGTTTTGGTGTTTTAGGTCACTGAACATGCTCTCCAGGGTGGAGGTTTTAAAACTTTTTATTTGTTTTCATGAGGACGAATGCTTTTAAAAAACGTTGACATCACACGCATGTTTACTGCTGCTTGATGACTGGTGAACATGCATTATGGCCCTACATGTCTGACACAATGAACCGATTCATTGATTATGGATATCATTGTTATAGTTCCAACGCTAGTGGCAACGTATTGTGGTGAATAGATACTCTGTTTATCATGTGTCACATTTATTATCACATTTAATTTAGGTGCACCGATATTTGCACAATCAGCACCAAACAACCACTCCAGCTCTCATCCTGCCTCTCAGCAGGAACATGATTATAGTCATCATTTTTCTTCATTCAAATTTTGTTCAAAATATTCTAAATTCAATTGTGAATTATGGATAACATAATGGGCTTGGTGTATCATTACACCTCCACTTTAAAGCCATTAAAACCTTAGACTTTGTAGTTATTCCCATGTAAGGCTGGTGACAGGGAACCATGTTACTTCAGTAACAGCTTTCAGTAGCCACGTTTACATGCAGCCTAATAATCCGTTAATAATATGACTAACAGCTCAATTGGAATAGAACACGTCCACGTAAACTCAGTTGGAGAAGTCTAGTCCAGTTGAGGTCATTCGGAATTAAATTTCTATCTGATTGAACGAGGTGGGTAATCCTGTAAATAATCTGGTAAATAGAAGAATAATAACTGTGTAAATGCCTCTATCTGATTACATTCCCAATCGGAAAGTTTAAGTACGTTCTGCACAGGTGCGTCACGTCATAGTGTTTATAACGTTCAACATGGTGGAGCAGAAACTGGTCTGCAGAGGAGACGAAGTTTATGCTCTGATATTTAAAAGACAGCGGTGGGACGGACGTCCAGCTTATGTGTCTCAGAACACGACGTCTTCCTCTCGGCCTTCTTTAATAAGAACATGTGAAGCACGTTTTCCTGAGTCTGACATCATTTTAACGCTATTAAAACACAAGCACTGCTCACTGCTGCTCATCTCTCTCTGACTGGACTCACATGATGCTCGTTGTCATGGTAACGTCTACACTAAGTGTTACTCTACGCAAGAGCGTCATTTTGGATCAGATTATTTGTAGTGTGAATGTAAACAGATTTTCTTCAGATTGTTGAGTAGAGTGAGCATAAAAAACTTAAGTTAATCTGCAATCGGAATTTATTTAAATGGATTGGCAAAAATCTTTGCATGTAAAAACAGCCAGTGGTGGTAAGAACTCATTTACTGCTGGTTTAAAAATCGTCAGCCGTTCATTGATTTATTTTATGCAGTCTGTAGTTAACAAGACACTAGGATTCCCACGTGTAAAGATAATTTCATTTTTAAGCCTGTTGGATGATGTTATATCCGACATTAATGCCACATGTACTGTACCTAATATAGATGATAAACAGGAATTCACCAGCCGTTCTTAAGAAGAAATGTCTTCTTAAAACTCACTTACTCTAGAGATTCTGACACTCACCAGTGTTTTCTTAATTGGGATTTGTTCTTGGGTAAGAACAGAAATCACACACACTCAAGAGCACAAAGGTCTGAACAGTTCTGCAGTTTCAGAACACGCCCTGAATCTGACAGACTTTTTCTTACGACCTTCTTTAAGAATGAATTTACTCAGGAAGATATTGATGAATGAGGCCTATTGTTCTTGAAATGGCCTTGGATGGTAAACTGTGTGTGGCATTCACAGCTCCACTGCTACTAGAGTAATTAATCTTTACAAAAAAAAACAGAAAACAATAATTAGAAGTGCGGATTGGAACTTTTTGGTATACACCACAAACTCCATTAAATGGACATATGGATAATGATAACATGCAAAAATATATTCGGACATGGGCCTTTTACATCAACTGTAAATATTATTCATTATTGAACTCGCTGTGTAATTAACTATATCATTGTTATTATATTTAAGCAACATAGCAAAATGACAGTAATATCTCTGGACTTCTAAGGGTTAAAATGTGTCTCTCAGTCCTGTGAAGAGACGACAGGGAAGTCAAAAAGATGTTTGCATGTTAAATCTGAATTATTTCTTCACATCTCTGTTATGTCTCATTTGCTGAAAGCCTAAAGCCGTGGAATTTGATGCTTCTGAATCTATTCGAGTTTGAAAATGGACAAGACAAACAAATAGGATTGGAGCGTTACAGCTTTCTGCAGGATTAGTCAGATGTAATTCTGGATTTGAATTCCGTTTGTGCGTGTCTGTGTGTCTGTGTACAGGTGCTGGACTGGATCCAGAACCATGGAGAGGCTTTTCTCAGTAAACACACTGGAGTAGGGAAGTCTGTACATCGGGCACGAGCCTTACAGAAACGCCACGATGACTTCCAGGAGGTGGCACAGGTACGAAAAGTGCATGATGAGCTCGAGCTGTGTCCATCATCAAGTGATAGCTACTGAGTGTGACAGCTGTGAAGCAAGACAGCTAATCAGCCAGTTTGACCACTTTAGGCTTGCGTGTCATGTACAGTGAGAAAAAAAGACAAATTGTTAATCGCTTTCTTTTTATGGCAGTTAATCTTCAGCTAAAATTTTATGAAGGTGACAGGTCTGTTCATAAAGTGCTTTTAAGAAAAGATGTTTTGTTCTTAAATGAAGGGGCAGAATCATTTCGTTTCCTTTTTTACCGAGGGTTAGGTTCAGAGTTTGGCTTAGTTAAAGTGATTAGTGCCTGTAGGTACTTACACATCATTACTGTTGGAACAAAACCTTATATTTCCAAAAAACCTGCTGTACAGGAGAAGAAAAAGTGTTCTTAACTTCCATGTGAATCAATGTTATCCTAAGTTGTTTTGGAACATTTCTGACACAATGTAAACACACACACACACACACACACACACATTTTCTGAAACCGCTCATCCTTCTGGGTCGTGGGGACAACGTAAACAACAGCTGCAATTTACAAGGTTTTGTTCCGACAGCGACAATATCTGTAACATACTTTACTTTTAATGTAAGTCAATGGAACCAGAATTTTTTACAAATCTTTTTGTCCATTCCCCATGAAATTTATAGACAATGTAAAGGACAACAGACATTTACAAATTATGTTAAAAACTGAAGACAAAAATGGACGTACGAGGTTTTGTTCCAACAACAGCGATACACACACACACATCTCTCTTTCTCTCTCTCTCTCTCTCTCTCTCTATATATATATATATATATATATATATCGCTGCAGTTGGAAATAAACCTTGTATCTCCATTTTTGCATTATGCACTTTTTCATTTTTTGACATACTTTGAAAAGGCCAGTTGCCCTTTATGTTGTGTCAAAATTTCATGATGAATGGACCAGCAGAAATGGTCCAAAATTACTTGGAAAAAATATTTATCCATTTATTTACATTAAAAGTTAAGAACATTATAACTTTTCCTGTAAAGTTACCTTTTTGGAGATATGAGGTTTTGTCCCAACAGCAGCAATATATACACGTATATATATATGTATATATATATATATATATAGTGCAGAGGGAATAAGTATATTTTTGACTACACACAGAAGCAAACATGCATGTGTGTATCTGAGAGAGAGAGAGAGAGAGAGAGAGAGAGAGAATAATAGCGTGTGTTTGTGAATGTTTAAACGGGGGCTGGTCAAATTTGCAGTGTAATCATACAAATGATTTTATTTTTCTTTCCTTTTCCTTTTTCACTTACTTCCCCTCCCTCACTCTTCCTCTAGAACACGTACACTAATGCTGATAAGCTGTTGGAGGCGGCGGAGCAATTGGCTCAGACTGGAGAGTGTGACCCTGAAGAGATCTATGCTGCTGCTCATCATTTGGAGGTCAGAGTTCAGGAGTTTGTACGCCGAGTGGAGCAGAGGAAGCTGCTGCTGGATCTCTCTGTTTCCTTTCACACACACACCAAAGAGGTAAAGCACACGCTGTGAGGCTGCATGGGTTTGGAGGCTTGATTGTGATGAAGTAATTGGTGTGTGGTTCATTAAACCAGCGGCACTATCAGAGGAGGTGACAGTTCACTGGCTGAAATATGAATTGGATTGCTTCCAACACATAGTGATTGTACAAAGCTCAGTTCCAAAAATCTTGGGACATGTTAAATTAAGCATCCCTGAGAAAAACATCTAGAAGGCAGCATATCAGTGTTTCAGTGTTGAAATGCCTTCACATATGTATAAGTTACCCCATACTATGACAGACCCTGGCTTTTAAACTTTATGCTGGTGACAGGATGGTTCTCTTTTTCTTTGGCCCGGGGAATACAACGTCCATTATTTCCATAGACAGCCTGGAAGGCTGATTCATCAGACCACAATACATGTTTCCACGGTGCATCATTGCATTTCCCTTCAAGCCCAGAGGACTTGGTTGTTTTCTTGATGTTGTTCACATACGACTTCTGCTTTGAGTGATTGATCGTCACAGGCGTTCTTGAATAGTTTTTAGTCTTTTCCTTTACGTGCAAATATTTCTCCGGATTCTTTTGAGATTACACACAGAAATACTTAACAAACCTTATTTTTAAACTGTAGGATTATTCACTGGCCCATATTTTGGTAAATTGGCAACCCTCTATCCGTCTTTGGTCCTAAAGGACTAGGTCTTTTGTAGGTGCTCCTTTTATACCCAAGCATGATTGAATCACCTGTTTTAGATGTTGTTTGAACATTTCACAATGTACCCAGTCTTAAATTGTATCTCCATTTTTGTCGTTTTTTGGGTTTTGACATAGTTTGAAAATGCCTGTTGCCTTTTACATTGTTTGTAGATGAAGATTGGACCAAAAGAAACGGCCCAAAATGATTCAGAAAAACGTCTGGTTCCATTGACTTACATTAAAAGTAAAGTGTGTTTTTTCCTTCTCCTGTAAAGTTATCATTTCAGAGATACAAGGTTTTTTTCCGACAACAGCGATATATTTACAAAAAACACCAATTACTCCAAAGAAGACGATAAGAGAAAAGAATAGATATCTTCTTCCTGTTCTATTTTTGTTTGAATACAGTTCAAAGTGGATTAACAAATCACTGCTTTCTGTTTTATATGCATTTCACATGCAATCCTAACATTTTTGCAATGGACATCTGTATTATAGGAAGTTTGTCTTTCAGTTATAAGCCAGTCACCTAGTTAGCAAAAGGTGCAGCCGGGAGAAAGCTTAGCCTGTCACATTCTTTCTTCGCAAGCACAGATTTAAGATACAGCAGTCTTTGCTGCAGTCCTGACTGGTTTTTGACTTATGTTACTAAAGTCCTTGTGACAGAGACATTATCAGAGCAGTGGCCATTGCAACCACCATAGAGAAGATTGATGTCAGACCTTAGCTCCTCCTTGTTTTGGAGATACGCATATATATATATATATATATATATATTTATATATATATATATATAAATATATATATATATATATATATATATATATATATATATATATATATATATATATTAGCTGGAACAACCTGAAAAATGCATTTTTTATTTGAATCAAAGACCACAAATTGACAGATTTTACCCAAGATTTAAAAAATGAAAGTTTTTGGAAATGTTAGCTTGCTTTCATTCTTGGAAGTCTCCCCCCATTCACATACATAGAAGTCTGGTCTTGTATGACTAGAACTAACTGCTCGAGGCATTGCTTAGAGAGTGAGTTTGCTAGTGAAAAAGAACGAAGAAAAAATATTTACAACTTAATACCAGTGAGTGTATCAAAGTCTACCTATGTGTGCACACACAAACAGATATTTATACAACAATACAATTTGCTAGTGATGCACTGAAATGGAAATCCTTGGCCGAAACCAAAATCAAAATACTCTGCCAAAAACTGTAAATGATTAAATTAATATTTTAAGAAATAAAAACATTTTCAGTCAAAAATAAACTTGCTAAAATTATTTTAGTGCCGGCTTCAGTCCCACGAAATCCAGTGTACTTCACAACATAGAACAGTTGGTCAGCCAACATTATTATTATATTATCATTATTATTATGTATTATTATATAATTCCTCCTTTCGGTACCCAACATGAATAGAGGTCTAACTGTTTAAACACATCTCCGCTCACCAGCGAAGAAGAGAGCGAAGGGAACAAACCTTTTAACTGACCGTTTCTCATGTTCTCCACCGTTCCAGTTATGTGTAAAGTCTTAGATTTTAATACTTTGTTTTAGGCTTATTAAAAATTTGGTTTTGTTTTTATGTCAAGACTTTTGACCATATTTCTCTTTCAGCTGTAAACCAGAAGTGCCATTTTTTTGGGTTTTTTTTTTTTGACATTTTTGGCTGAATATTTTTAGCAACCGAAATTTCAGTGCATCCTTATAATTTATTATGAAATTTGTCATGTTATGAAATGAACTGATGCTTAAATCATCGCTGTCGTAATGAAACCTGTATATCCATGTGTTTTTTTTTAACCCGATTTGAAAATTCGGCTCTTTACATTGTGTACAATTTCATAACAAATGGATAAAAAAACGTAACTTATTATTTTCTACATTACATTAACTTAAATTAGATCTTGAGAATGTTTCTATCTTCTCCTGTAAAGTTACCATTTGTTTTGATATCAATGATATCCTTATTGGAGCTGGTGGTTTTGACCACAGTGGTTTTGAGCAGCAGTATGTTTACTGCTGCAGTGATTCTAAAGAAGGATGTCTGTGTTATCCTGCACAGCCGCTGTGTTTGATCTGCTTTACGTATTTGGTGGTTGTAAATGTTCTGATCCTGCAAACAATAATCGCATCTCCGCTGAACAGTAAGCGGAGTTACTGCCCCTGTAATCCTGCACATGCTCTCACACACTCCGAGATACTCTGTGTTACCAGGGCAACAGCAGAAACTGCTGATTTTTCTTGTTTGCGATTTTGTCTGTAAGGATTAGTAGCTGTTGCTATGCTGGAGCAGGTGTGTGTGTGTGTGTGTGTGTGTCTGTTTGTCTGTGTTTTTCTGTGCAAAGTTCTGTGAAGAAGGTGTGTATAGAGGAGTGTATTGATACACTAAGCCCACAGTTTGATTTGCAATACTGGGCTCATGATTCAGTATTCTGACAATGTTTTTTACTGTATTTGAATGAAGAAAAATAATAACTAGAATCATGGTGTACAACTTAGTAAAGACACTAGAACTTGGAAGAGAAGTGGTGCTGGGGTTCTTGATTGGTGCTGAGTGTTTGCAAACTTCGGTGTCTAAATAACACGGTTGCATTTTTTCGTGATTGTATTTGATCAGGTACTTTATGCTTAATTGCTTTAAATTTGATTTGAAAAGAAAGATAGTAGTTAATAGCTGTGCATGAAGTTCTTCACAACAGCAAGAAAAAACATTCTGAAAAAATATTTTCTGAAATGCTTCCAAAGATGTAGTTGTCAACAACCAGCAGGTTGTCTCAGCATATGTGGAACTTCTTGAGATCTGTTGGAAAAACACCCCAGGTGGCCAAGAGTGTGTAAAACTGGATTAAGAAAAATGGGGCAGGGGATGCTTTGAAAAATCTGTAATATACCATAGTTTTTATTTGGTCATGTGTCATTTCTTAGTTTTGATGTCTTCACTATTATCCTAAAATGTGGAAATGAGTGAAAATAAGGTAAACACATTATGAATGTGTGTGTCCAAACATTTGACTGGTATTGTAGATTTGTTTAGGGAGGATAGCACAGGGTTACATCTAGAATTAAATCACTGGTAGAACATAAACCGTAAGGTTTATTAAAAGGAGAATGAACCAAAGTAACAGGATTAACACCAGACTGAGCAGCACCAGATCAACAAAACACAATACAAAGACAATAACTGAGTCAGAAAAACAAGCGAGGATCTTAACCAAAAAGCAAACAAACAGGTAGACTTAGCCAAAAGGACAAATCCGAGAATCAGTCACGAGAAAACAAAGCAAGGTCATAAACAGGGCAGCAGTCAGACAGAAAACGGATCAGTACACACTGACAGATCAGGGGCAATACTGCGCAAAGACATGGTGCAAACAGACAGGCTTATATACAATGAAACACTGGTGATGGTAATCAATATTTAGGTGACTGGGATCTGCTGGGTGGCTTGTGATTGGCTGATGGAGTCACATGACAGATGAAAGGATTCTGGGAAGTGGAGTCCATAACAGAATGAGCGTCTGAATGAGAACCGGGAATCGTGACAGTCTTAAATAAGTGAATATTTGAGGAAATATTACACATTTGAAGTTACTGACTTGCTTTAGCTGCTAAACGTTGATATTTGCTAATTTGTGGAATGTCTGTCCTCATTAATATGTTTGAGCTGGCCAGGCGTTTTGTGAAGTAGATTTGGTCTAGATATTCCTATTTGGCAGAAGGTTGTATTTGTCTGTTTATAGTAATTGTGTATGTGTTGTAGTGATTGTATTAATTCCTTATGTGTTATTTCATAGCTTACTACTCATTACAGTAAAACATGGGAAATGGTGAAAATAAGGGAACCCGTTCTTTGAGTGAGTGTGTCCAAACTTTTGACTGGTACTCCGTGTGAACTGATTGTGAATGTATAGGGGATGTAAAAGTGTATTTCTGCGTCCTGATGCATCAATCTGAAGGTGATGATGGGAATGTTAGATCCATAGATTTCATAGAATATAATAATAAGTATGTGCTTGTTTTTGGCCAATGCTTGGGCTGTTTTTTGTATTGAAAAGCTTCATGATCTGTATGAAATCAGATTTCATTATACATTGCATAATTTCCAAACGAATCATAATCATATTGCACTGTTAAATCAGAGGTTTACACCTCCATTATGTGTGTCTGTAATGTCCCTCTCTCTCTCTCTCTGTGTAGCTGTGGTCATGGATGGAGGAGCTGCAGAAGAGTCTGGTGGAGCCTGTGTGTTCAGAGACAGTGGACTCAGTGCAAGAGCTGATCAGGCAGTTCCAGCAGCAGCAGAGCAGCACACTGGACGCCACACTCAATGTCATTAAAGAGGGAGAGGAGCTCATCCAGCACTTACGGTGAGATTAGCAACTCAACAGCTTCAGTCAGCTTATTAACACCTCAATACTCATCATGTTTACCGAATCACAAGCGTTTAGCTCTTGTTGAACCCATAACTGCTTAAGTTTCTCAGCTTGTCAGTCACCAACATGTTGTCTTTACAGCTTATCATTAATTACCCGATTTCCCCCCTTGTCAAGTTTCTTTTTTAGTTTTGCACTAAAACTATGAGGCTATTATAGCTAACAAGTAATGGAAGCTTATGTCCCACCAATTAGCAAAGTTTTGAGTTGCTAAGTAACTATTAACCTCAAACAGAAGTGTTTAATTGGTTTCTGACACTATATAACAGTGGTTTTCAACCAGTGCGCCAAAACAATCATTACAATATAGACATTTACACACACATTTTCTAAGCCACTTATCCTTCTGGGTCACGGAGGGGTTTTGGAGCCTATCCCAGCGGTCATTGGGTGGAAGGCAGGACAGACAGACAGACAGACAGACACATTCACACACACTCATACCTGGGGCAATTTAGCATGTCCAGTAGGCCTGACTACATGTCTTTGGACTGTGGAAGGAAACCCACACAAAGACGGGGAGAACATGCAAACTCCACTCAGAAAGGACCCTGGTTGCCTGGCTGGGAATCAAACAGCGCTAAATATGACAGATAATGTTGATTGTTTGCAAAAATAAAACTTTTAATACTACATATTACATATTAATGCTTTTTTTAAGCAACTACAGGGACATTGCAAACTGGTTACGCTATTCTTAGGAAGTGTGTAATAAAACCTTGGGTGGCCCCTGGCCATTTAAGGGGTTAGAAGGGTCTTTCAAAAGCAAAGATCCTGAGGCTCAGCCACCTACGGGTGTAGTAGCCACCTTATCTCAGACTGAGAAAATCGAGAAAACCAAGCATAACTGAAACGAAGAAAATACAGCAGCGTGTGAAAACTGAAAGCGAGTAACTACCACTCTGTGCTGTACACTCACAGGTCCTTTCAAATGAAGCCTTAAACCCAGCAGTTTACTCCGTCACTTGGAGAGTAAACATAACAAATATGTACCTAAACCTGTCAAATTAGGCCAGAACTCTGTTTGCAACTTTCTTGTCTTCAGCCACACATTCAGCACTCAGTAGCTGCCAAACAACATCAGCCATCTCATTAACTGAGGTAGAAAAAATGATCACATCGAAGTTGTGGATCGCAGACGTCCTGCTATAGGTCAATCTCTTATCTATAAAAATTGATAAAAAGATACACAAAAGGCTTCGTCAGGTCAGAGCTGTTTTGGTCAGGCATGCTTTACATACAACATACTTTTGTCCATTTTTGTAGATAACAGTGTTTCATACAATGTTAGAAACCACTGAAAAAGCAACAAGTCGGATGGAGATTACATAACGTGATTAAAGGCAAGTATGTAATGATTTAGGTATGCCGTTTTAATTGGTGGGGTTTGGGGGAAGTTAAAGTAAATATAATGAAATTATATTTATTTAATAATAAATAAATAATAAATTCGTGAGTGAATAAAACTATAAAACAGTAAAGTGTAAAATCAAAGATGACAAGACAGAACAGCAAATCCACTCAATTTAGTGGAGCTTAAAAAGACATAAATGCCTGGGAGAATAAATAAGCTTGTAAATTGGATTAAAACTGCCTGTTTAGGGATGATCTTAAGCTGTTCCATAGTTTGGGGGCTGCTACAGAAAAAGGCTGGTTGTCTTGAATCTCAGCCGAGACTGTGGAATAGTTAAGAGCAACTGGTTAGAGGAGCTCAAAACTCTGGAGATGGAAAACAGACAAAGTAGGCCAGAAATGTGGCTTAAACTCTATTCTGTGTCTGTCTTATAACCAGTGGAGGGAGGCCAGAACAGGACAGATGCTGTTGCTTTTTTTAGAGCCAGTCAAAAGCTTAGCTGCATTTTAGACCAGCTGCAGGTGAGTCACAAGTAAAGGGAGTTTTAAAAGCATGAACCGATAGGAAATAAATAGGGTTCTGAATTATTCAAAGTCTAGAATTATGATGTCTGTTAATTGGTGTGTGTTGTGTATGTTTGTGGGTGTGTATGTGGTTGTGTGTATATGTGTGTACAGGGACTCAGCGTTGGCGAGTAACAGGCTGCCCCACGCCAGCTCAGTAGCTCACATAGAGAGCGTGCTGCAGCAGCTGGACGAGGCGCAGGCCCATATGGAAGAACTGTTCCACGAGCGCAGGATCAAGCTAGACATCTTCCTCCAACTGCGCATCTTCGAGCAATACGCCCTGGAGGTGTGTGTGTGTGTGTGTGTGTGTATGTGTCTGTGTGTTTGTGGTCAAAACAGTGGGATGTGGTGGGCTGGTGGCACGGGAAGGTTCATGTTTTTTTTGTGTGTGTGTGTTCAAGTGTAATGGTGTCTGTGGTGGGCTGGTAGCGCGGGAAGGTTCATGTTTTTTTTGTGTGTGTGTGTTCAAGTGTAATGGTGTCTGTGGTGGGCTGGTGGAGAACAATGGGTTATGAATTTGTGTGTGTGTGTGTGTGTGTGTGTGTATGCATTTGTGTGTGCATATTTTCTGAGTTTGGTAGCCAGAGCCCAAAATGCTTATCTAGCATCACTGTATTTGAACAGATGTGTTTGCCAGTCCAGTCTTTGTTTATTTATTTTTGGTCCATTATATGTGTGACTGTTTTGTGTGTGTTTGTGGAAGTGTGCTCTGCGTGATAGCTGATAGACAATAGTTGCATAATTTGCTGCTCGGCATGTTTGTTGCTAGGGAATATGTGTCTCTGCTGGGTTTATGGATCCACCAAAATTTTGGCCACAGAAAATGGAAGAACATTTTAAAAATCCCATGATTAAGTATAAATATCCTTCAACAAAGTTTAAAAATTAAAGACTTTACAAATAATTAATGGTAACAAAAATGAGAAATAGTGATAAAAAATGCTGTTTGCTGTTTCTTCGCACTCCTGCAGCGGTCAGTGCAGACACGTTCAAACTGCGCAGCAGCAGATCAGCAGTAAAAGTCTTGTATGTGTGGAGCTTTATCACTGCTTCTACAAGGGACATTAGATGTGATTTACAATCGAGAACTTCTTCACTACAGGTTTGATAAGACTTAAAAACACATCCCGCTCAATACTGTTGCTGTCCAACAAAAAACATGTATCTCCATTTTTGTCGATTTTCATCTAAATCATTTCAACACGCAAGCTGTACTTTACATTCTGGGAAAATTTCATGATGAATCGACCAATAAAAAATGCTCTAAAATCACTTGGAATAAAACCTCTTTATTTTAACTTACATTGAAAGGTGAGAGTGTTTTTGCCTTATCCTGTAAAGTTACTACATATATTTTTCATTTTTCTTATATTTTTTGTATTTAAGTTCTACAAGGGGGCTACGCACCTAAGATTTTCACTCACCTTCGCACCTGTTTAATTATGATGTGACAGTGTGATTGGAACTGGTGGTTGGTATAATGTAGTGGGTAACACCTCTGCCTTCTACGCTGTAGACTGGGGTTCAATCCCCCATCTGTAAAAATGATCAGATTGTAAGTCGCTCTGGGTAAGAGCGTCTGCCAAATGCCGTAAGTGTAAATGTATATTTTGATTTGATATTTTGGAGATACTTGTTTTTTCTTTGGACAGCGACAATATGCAAAATACAGCAAAACTACAGAAGCAGAATGAAGGGTCCTCACTAGCACACTAACACAATCTGTAGCCGCAGTTATGGAGATGACAGAGAAATTCACAAATAATAATGCCAAACTGCAGAGTATAACTGAAAAAGGATGTAATTTATTGCCTTGGATGACCAACCATTTTCACTTGTCTAGGACTTTGAATTTCATGTCACATATTGTACCCTGCATACAGTAGTAATTTGAGTAAGCATATTTTGTGGAAACTGTGTTTGTTTATTGTCAGCTTTTTTCAGTTTTTGACCCATTGTGTCCTGACTGTGTCTGTATTTGTGTGTGTGAGTGTGTGTGTGTGGATGCACAGGTGTGTCCAGATTAGTACGTTTGTACAGGTGTGTGTGTGTGTGAGAGTCCATGAATTACTACAATTAATCTTTTCTGTCCTGTCTGCTGTCCCTCAGGTAACAGGTGAACTGGACGCTTGGAAGCAGGATTTGCTGAGGCAGGCGTCTGACTATAACACCGAGGATCTCTCATTAGCCGAGCAGAGGCTCCATCGCCACACTGAACGCAAGCTGGCCATGAACAATATGACCTACGAGGTCATCCAGCAGGGTCAGGACCTGCACCAGTACATCATGGAGGTGCAGGCTTCAGGTGAGAGCACTTACACATTAAGTGTTGTTTCTGTGTTCTATACTATTTTACCCATTGCAATTAAAGAGACACTAAATATGCCCACAGTTCAGTTCACTATATTCATTTTGTAGCTGGTTATAGCTAGTTTTATAGTTGCTGAATATATATATTTATAGCAACCACTGAATAAATACACTGAAGATTAGTAACAGAATAATAAGCCTTCAGTTTAATTATGTATGTAATTACATAATTAATAACATAGTTACCTAATAAATTACATTTTCATTTGATTTATTTATACTAAGAGTTACTGATTTTTTATATTTGTTTCAGGGCCATCTTCTATTTACAAACACAAACTGACTGAATGTTTAGAATCCACACTTTTGGCAGAATTGGCACAGTTCCCTTAGAGGTGTTAGTGGAAATTAGCATTATCCAAGCTGTAACCAAATAAGCAAAGGCTGTTTATAAAGTGATTTCTGCATTAAACGCTGTATATTATAAACAAAACAAAGGAGATATGTACACACACACACACACACACACACAGAAGCAGACAGTGAATGAAAACTTTAACTTCTATGGAAAGCATTTGATGGCTTGGATAATATATAATAGAAAGCTGTGAAAGTTGTATATCCCAGTCATTATAAGAGTTGCTGTTGTTTCCAAAGTCTTTCTTCTGTCCTTGAAATTCTCTGGAGTAGAATATGATGGGAAACTCCTTTGAGTGACAGGACTAGCCCTTAAAGCCCTAATTAGGATACTGCTGCAAGTGGACAGCCAGTTTTGGATACTGCAATGTCAGTGGATTTGAGCAGGCAAGAACGCATCATACTAGAAAGTGCAAAATGTACATTTGTTATAATCCCTGTTAGTAAACTCAGCACCAGTCCCTGAGCAGCCATGCTGCTGTTCTGGCCATTCCTTATTATCCTTATTCTTTTAATGCCTGAGTTCTGGGTCTGTACTGTAATGTGTTTCACTAGTTCCTGTCATCTACCATCTAGTTCTTAATTTGCAGTGAGCTGTAGTCCTGAGTAACATTGCTCAGACATTGTCCTTTCTGATAAAAGTCAAAGCACAGTCATTAGGTAGATCAGGAGAGGGTGGGTCAGAAAGGAGGATGGTACATAGAAGAAATGAGTGGTTTTACTCTTTGAAGTCTAGAGTAACTGTTTTTTTTATTTACAAGTGTTTTGCTTTACTAAGTACAGGATTAATTACTTATTAGGGGTCCAAGCACAATGTGCTGGAACCCTATTGCAGTTGTTAGAATTTTTCTTCTTCTTCTTCTTCTTCTTCTTCTTCTTCTTTTTCTTCGTCTTTGTTACTAAAACGAATCGTGCAGACCAAACTGTAAGTCATACAGACATGAAACATGGTCAATAGGTAGTAGTCCCTCCTGCTACTCAGGCACACAAGCTCAGCCCCAATCAGCCTGATACAGTGAAGTGTTAATCTACACTTCTTATGGTATACAAAAAGAGCCTCAAGGACCATTTCTATCATTTTCCTACAAATGTTTGAAAAAGACACTACAGTTTATACCCAATCATCTCAATACTGGTTTTGAAACAAAAAGAGTCTGTAAGTAAATAATTATCAAAAAATATTGCGTTTTTAACAACGTGCATCTGCAACATGTTATTCATTCTGTCTGGGTGGAGTTTTTACGACTCCGTTATCTGCAACTTACAAAGTGCTAAAAAACCTATTTTAATTGTTTGAATTTTTCTTCTTTTTCTTTCTCTTCTTCTTGTTTACTAAAATGAATCATGCAGACCAAACTGTACGTCAAATTCAGCACATTATAAAATGGCCATTATCCATAAGTACACCTAAAAAACATGACATCATGGTTTAAAGTCTGTCTTACTATGAAAATATCAAAGATAAAGTCTATTTGCATTTTACAGTAAGTGGCAGCCAAAATTTCAGTTCATTTGCACCCCTTCAAACTGACTCATGAATCAAATTCAAAACATTATAAACTGATTATTATCAATAAGCACACCAAACAAGCAATAGATTTTCATTTAAAGTCTGTCACGCTATTCAAAAAATAGCTTTTTAAAATAAAGGGCAGCCAAAGATACCAAAACAGTTCATCAAGGTAATAATTTGCTCTAAATGGCTAAAGCCTATAGATACTGTAGGCTATGATACGATAGACTGTCCTATGCGGACCTGGACCTGTAACTGATAAACTGTGAAGAATTCTTTAATTTCGACCGGGTGGTCCTATTCTGATCGGCCTTACCTTTCTAGCCTTTACGCTATCACTTTAGCCACCCGGGAAACTCACAGACCAATCACATGCATTGTAAATATCGCACGTGACGCTACTCAGCCAATCAGATCTGTGCATTATGATGAGCACTGCGACAGTGAGTGACGCACACACAGGGGAGAGACGAGGCGAGACACAGCAGTCGGAGAAGAAAGTGAGTCAGATTATTTCACATGACGTGCTCTAAAAAGAGAAAACTGATGTTGCTGAAATATTACTGAATTGTACTTCATTTGATTTGACATTCAGTTGCTGACTAAATAAGATGTTGACATAACTACTAGGCTACTTCAGTAAACAGTATAGGGCACTGAGTCATAATGCAAGTTGGACATTATGATGTTCTGGACCTTTGCTTGAGGAAATTTTCTTTACCTGGACCTTATTGAATTTTAATAAATACCTCTGTTCTAGGAGATCTATAAAAACATGCCTAATTAGAGTTCTGCAGGAATTTGAAAACATTAGAACTGGTCAATCACAAGAGGGTATTAGCCAAAATAGCCATGTTGGGCCTAATTGCGAAGCCAGCTTGGACCCTGCAAGTAGCTGCTTGTGGCTACATTTATGTTTATTTCAATACTGAATAATGACAAAATGGCAAAAATATAAAGGATGTTTGCTGCACAACATTTCATCATATTCTACTAATAAACACAAATGTGGTATTGATTGACAGTTTTAAAAACACTTTCAACAGAGTTTATCTGCTTATTTACGTTTACACTTGTGTATTTGGCTGGCGTTCTTGTCCAGAGTGCGTCTTTAATGTAATCATGTTACAGAGCAATTAGAGAGCAATAATGTTAACCACTACATTATCCTACGGTATTTATGTTCCAATGATGCACAACTGGGTAATGATATAACATTACAACATCCATTTGTTATTGTTAGCAATAACTACAGCTTCAAAGAGAAATCAAAGAGTACTTCAAAGAGTAAAGAGGACAAAGATCCTGAATGATTCAATGCTGCATCTACTCAGGGTTTCCTTGAGTTCCAGGTACATCCCTCCAGTTTGGCCAGCAATACTGGGGGTGTTTGGGAACCTCCTAAGAAGATAGGCGTGAAACGAGGGGTTGGGGGAGGTCAATTGCGAGAAACAGATAGAGCGAGAGAGCGAGGGAGAGTCTGAGTAGGTGGAGTACAAGAAAGAGTGACATGTATCGAAGTAATAGCAGAGAGAATGAGAGAGAGAAATGGGAGTGAAAAAAAATTCTCTCTCTTACTGTGTGCAGGGGTGGGGTTGCTATGGAAACACACCCCCCCCTTAACATTCTCTATACCAAGGTTGCCATGACGACAGGCCCCTCGCTAGTCACCACCGGGTTGCCGTGGACACGCTCCATCGTTCACAGTTGGGTTGCCGTGAGGATGCGCAGGCTACCGCAGAGGCCACCCCTGTCATGCACATATAACGTTCCCATGGGAACCGCCTCCCGTTGCCCAGTGTGCGGTTGCCATGGAGACTGCATCCTGCTGCCCATAGGCAGGTAGCTGTGGGGGGATGAATGGGGTGAAATGAGGGTTAGTGGAGGCGGGTTAAAATGCCCTTTTCTGCTTCAGCAGACACAGACACACATACGCACACACACACACACACACACACACACACACACACACACACACACTGCTACAAATATCTGGACCACACACAGTTGCACACACACACACGTCTTGCTATGGTTCACATTTTATACACATGTGGTATGTGTGCTCGTCTTGCTATCCTTGTGAGGACTACATGTCCTCACATTGTTAAGACAACATGACATTTTACTGGTCCTCACTTGTGCATGTGTTGTTTTTACCACAAATTACATTTTTTTGGGAAAACTAGTGCAAAAAAATTGCCTTTTGGATACTGCGGTTAGGGTTAAGGGTAGGTTTAGGTGTCGGTGTAGTATTACTTGGCTAGAGTAATTCAAAAATCCATAGAAACCTAAGGAAGTCCTCATGATGGAATGTAAGACAACATTGTGTGTGTTTAGTGCTCCACTGGGAAGTTGGGTCACTCTGTGGTGACTAAACCTTCTCTCTGCATGAGAGCTCACCTGGGTGCTGTGTTCTCTCTCCTGCTTCTCACATCCTATAACGATCACTTACAGAGATGACATGGAGCAGGCTGGACGGCCAGTCAGGACACTTGGCTACTCTCAGCTATTATCAGTGCTCACAGCACAGCACCCCCTGCTGGATTGCTCTGCATTCCAACACATGAGATTAGCCAATTAGGAATCGTGTGAGTTGAATATATCTATTCGTCCATCCATCTTTAATTTGTAGGTTAAAGTGTTCTCTTTAAGTTCTTTATTGTTGGCTAATGGAGTGTTTAGTGCACTCTGTACATACAAATAATTCATTCTGGTTGTACTAGAACATTAGGTATGAAATGAAAACTGATTTAAGAGTTGAAGTGCAGAATCACAGCTATAATTTGAGGATGATTAAATCTATGTTGGGTTAACCATCAGAATCACAGTCTGTATTCATAGTCCATTCCACAGCACCATGAGTATTTGGTCAAATTAACATAATCTGTAATAAAGTTGTCATGTTTAGTACTGGAATCTTTTGTAATCAATGACTGCATGATGTCTTGTTTTGAAGGCTTTTAGGTCTAGTCTGTCCTCAGTGAGTTACATGATTAGTACAATTCGGATCAGGAGCCGTATTACAGAAACTTCTTAAGTCTTATCTGCTTCGTCACAACTTCTGTGTGACAACTTTAGTTAGGACTGAATTTAGGACAGATGCTGTTACAGAAGATCATGATCTTATCCTAACTCCCAATAGAAAAACAATATTACAGAAACATCCTAACTAGACAAACTTTCCTAAATTCTGTCCTAACTTTAAGATAAACCCCAGAACTGTCTTAACTTCTGTTTTAACTGTCTGTTTCTATTGTTTTGTGCAGTGTCAGGCAGCATAGTTCACTATAACTAGCATAAAGACGGTACATTTATATACACTGAGGTTTGACTTGTGAGGGTTTTTTTAACAGTGTTTTAAAAACCCTGGCTGCTGCAGACACACAATCTCCACCGCCCCCTCTTATTACCTTCATGTGTTAATGTTAATGAAAGTTTGTCAGATAAAATATTACAGTGATGGTGGTGAAAAATGAAGAGTCAGAGCTGAACGTGTGTCACTTTATTAGGAGAAATAACATAAGCGCACTCGGCTAAAGTGTTTGGGAAATGAAACTGAAACTGTGGAGTGGCGGCGCTCTGAAAACAGCACGAAGAGCTGTCACAATATTCTTAACTTTCAGTTTATGGCGCTTTAGTTTTGTTTTACCTTTTTTGTATGTCAGTAACGGTAGCTAGCTGCCTGGCTAACTAGCTTAATTACTTTGTTTACGTGTTTGCGTTTCAGCTGTGTGCTTATGGTTGGTTGCTAGGTAACAGACATGAAATTATAGAACTACAAAATTCACCTATATGGTAAGTAGACTTGATAAAATAAACGAGTGTAGACACAAGGTAGGTGTACGTTGATTGTCAACTTGAGATAAGATGCTGTAAGATAAGATTCCTAAATCAAGATAAGATTTGCTTCTGTAATAACAAATCTGTGAAAAATCTGATCCTGACCTGTCAGATCTTAAGTGAAGACAAAAAGCTAGGAAGTCTCTATAATACGGCCCCAGGTGACTTGGCTGTGAAAAACTCGCTTGCGTAGTTCCAGGTGTGTCCATTATACAATTTGTTTTGAGATGTTTGCTTGGATTGGAGTTAAAAGGCTTTTGTACACGTAATAATTAATCTAGGTTGTTTTCTGCAGCTAAACTCACCAGTTTTGGTTTTAACAATGTACCAAACACTTGATTTTGATACATGTAATACTTTGGTTATCATTTTCAGTCATGTGTCTTTCTCAATATGTTCTGCCTTTTGCTGACATTGAGACTTCTTTTGCTTCTCAAGTTGAGAGACAGCTCTAAATCTTGAGTGAACTCTTTTGAGGTCTTTTTTTTAGCTCTCTTGTATATGAACTAATTATGCACTGACCAAGCTGTCCAAGAAACAGCTGTCCAATTACATTTGCTAACCTGAAATGTGAGAAAATCCTATAGTAAGCACAAGATATTGATGACATACTCTGTTCACACTTGGCATTAACATATGCCTTGGGTGGTCCAATCTCAAGCGGACAGAAAGAAGTACAGGTGTGAACAGTGTCCAGTCCGTTTTGGAGATGCATTATGATCGAGTAACTCACGCCACCTTCAGAAGTGGTCACTGAGTCCTATGACTACATAACATTTGTAGTGCTAAAGTGCCTTGATGCGTCCCCGACAGCATTAGAGGACCACCTTAATCTACTGTGTCATCACAGCAGCTGCATAGCGTCTCTCTTTGTCTTCGCTCCAGTTTGTTTACATGTTGTGTTAGTGCTCCATGCGATCTAAATGTTTGTAACATCATTTACATGAGCAAAGACTCATGGGACAGTTTGTCTGACAGCAGACACAGCGAGATACTGATGTAGTTAATGAGCACGGAATCCCTCCTTCAGTCACGTAATCGAACCATAAGTGGTCACTGGAGACGCATTCGAGACGCATGGACATACTAGGTGACTTTACATCTCACTGCCCTGTTTCGGTCAGGTCACTTGAGATGGACGGCAATAACAGGTGTGAACATTGCCTACAGCTGACAGTCTGAACTTTAATTATTTCTGTAGGCCCCCTTGTGGCCATAATGGAATGGATAATCGACTTGAATATTTTTAATTAAAATAATCAAATTACATATTTTTCCCCATAAATGTTACAGGGGAACTCGGATTAGCTAAGATTAAGGTGTGGGAGTAGTGAGAACCCCCTACTGTGAAAACAGTTCATACTTCTCTGCGAAGATGTGCTGGACTACAGAAGCTAAACAGAAAAATTGCCACTGTCCAGTTACTTATGGACTGCACTGAACAGTTTTCTTTCCCCAATTTCCTACCCAATTTAGTCCTCTCCAATTACATCCACCAGCTAGGACTCCCCCAATCACATGATACTACCAGCGCTAAGACGGCAACAGCTAGCACAGGCTTCCTCCGAGGCCTGTGAAGCGCCACCACATCTTTTCGAACTGCCGCTCACGCAGCATCACTGGACAGCCGAACGCGCTCAGAGGAAAACTCCAACCGCCAGTTCTGGTACATTAGCTAACAGACGCTTGCACTGACTAGCATCATGTTGAGTGATCAATCCTACCCACCCACAGAGCGAGGCCAATCATGCTCTCTTGGACTCCTGGCCATGGACGGCTGTAGCATCACCAGAGGTCAAGCTCTTGGTTTCCTGATGACAGGACCAACGCTTAGACGGCTGCACCACTCAGAAGATCGAACTGGTTTCTTATTGCATGTTGTATTTCCAAACACTGTGATAAACATATGTCCCTGTTTGTGTTTGTGTGATGCAGGTATGGAGCTGAGTGGAGAGAAGGATGTGGACTTGGCTGCTCAGGTCCAGGAGCTTCTGGAGTTTCTGCATGAGAAACAGCACGAGCTGGAGCTGAGCGCTGAGCACACACACAAACGCCTCGAGCAGTGTTTACAGCTGCGCCACCTACAGGCCGAGGTCAAACAGGTCCGTGTGTGTATTTCACAATTTGTGGAGCACACTATACAATGCACCTCATTTCACACCTGGCCTATTTTGCTGATAGTTTAGTTTCCACTCTCATGTTTTTTCTAGCACAGCTGTTGTTCTTTTTTTTAAAACTCATGCATCAGAAGATTAAAGACTCACTGCTTGAAACTCACTGCTGTTTGAGCTTCAGACTGATGCCATTAACACTGAGTGTAAACGCCAGCTGATGGTTTTGTTCTTTGGCAGTTCTCCTCTCTCTCTCTCTCTCTCTCTCTCTCTCTCTCTCTCTCTCCCTCTCTTTCTCTCTCTTTGTCTCTCTCTCTCTTCCTCGTTGTTTTCTGTCTCTTCCTCCCAGTTTTCTCTCTCTCTACCAACGCTTCTTTTTCCTTGTTCTCTCTCTCTAACTTCCTGTGTTCTCTTTCTCCCTCTCTCCCTATCTCTCTCTTTCTCTCTGTTCTCTTTTTTGCTCTCTCTACCACCCCACTTACTCTCTTTCTACCTCCCTGTTCTCTCTCTCTTTCTCTTTCTCTCTCTCTCTCTCTCTCTCTCTCTCTCTCTCTCTCTCTCTTTCTCTCCCTACCTCTCTCTTCTTCATTGTTTTCTGTCTCTACCACCCAGTTTCCTCTCCATCTATGGTTCTACCTCCATATGCTCTCTCTCTCTCTCTCCCTCTCTCTCTCTCCCTCTCTCTCTCTCTCTCTCCCTCTCTCTCTCTCTCTCCCTCCCTCTCCCTACCCCATTGTTTTCTCTCTCTGTACCTCCTTCTGTTTTCTCTCTGTCTGCTTCAACTCCCCTGTTCTGTCTCTTATCTTTACCTCCATTCTTTCAATATTAACTTACCTGTTTTCTCTCTCTCTCTCTCTCTCACTTTCATTCTTCCTCTCTTTCTACATCCTTGTTTTCTCTTTGTCTCTTCTCTCTCTTTACCTCCCTGTTCTCTCTCTCCTCCTCTCTCTGTCTGTACATCCCTTTTCACTCTCTCTCTCCACATCCCTGTCCTCTGTCTCTCTCTCTCGGTCTTTCTCACACACTCTCTCTTATACTGCGTGGGCTACAGTTTGCCGTCCTGCATAGCACAGAAGCTAATCAGTTTGCAAAGCATTGTTCTGTCTGTCTCCTCAGGCTTTAGCTAGGAAGACTAACTAGAGGAGACCCAGCTTATTCTACCCTATTAAAAAGCCAGCGAGTGTTTATGAACTCTGACAGAGTCCAATGCAGTGTTACTTCACCATTCATTATCAGGCTGCTGGGCACAGATTAGATGTAGGGTTTTCAGTTGGGAGTGAATACAGTGTGCATGTGTGTGTAAAACACATCTATACACTCACTTGCTACTTTATTAGGTACACCTATCTTGTGTCTACACTCGTTTATTTTATCAAGTCTAATTACCGTGTAGGTGAATTTTGTAGTTCTACAATTACAGACTGTAGTCCATCTGTTTCTCTGCACACTTTACTAGCCTCCCATTACCCTGTTTATCAAGGTCAGGACCCCACAGGACCACCACAGAGCAGGTATTACTTGGGTGGTGATCATTCTCAGCACTGCAGTGATACTCAAATGGTGGTGACGTGTTGACGAGTGTGTGTTGCGCTGGTATGAGTGGATCAGACACAGCAGTACTGCTGGAGTTTTTAAACAATCACTGTCCACTCTATTAAACACACCTTTACTGTTGTCGCACCTTGTATGTATAAAGTTAGTGATGCATATGTGTATGTGTATGTGCTGTAATGAGTGTGTCTTGTGTCCAGGTGCTGGGCTGGATCCGTAATGGTGAGTCTATGCTGACGGCCAGTACGGTGAATGCTGGATCTCTGTCTGAAGCAGAGCAGCTGCAGAGAGAGCATGAGCAGTTTCAGCTCGCCATCGAGGTAACAGCACAGTTTTGGTTGGAAACAAAAGGGTTAAATTCATCAAACGGCCGGAATAAAATTAGCCAGTCCAGATGTTTTTTCTTCATGGCATCTGGGTGAATACAGCCAAGCAAGCTCTCCCATTTGTTAGGACTGCAGGAGCTGAACTGAAGGCCTCAGACATTAGATTAACCACCTCAGGGTAATCAACCAATCACATTTGATTAGCAATAGGCAGTACCAGTTCTGAGAGAAAAAACATCACTCCAGGCCTTCTGGAAGTCCAAGATACATCACTGACTGCAAGTACGGTGCATTTTACAATGTCTGTCCAACGCATTTCAGTCGGATGTTAGGAATAGAAAAGAGCAGCAGCATCTCTATGATAGAGCTCTTTACTGATCTGCTATATATGTTAATATCTCTTTTACAGTCTATGGTTAATCTACAACAGCCCAATTAATGTAAATTGCTGTTAGCAAGTAGCTAACATGCTACTTGAATGCCATAGGGACATAAGGAGAAATTAGCATTATTCTTTTTCCAGGTTTTTGAATGTTTTTTGACATTTATAGTCCAAACTGAAGGCCTAGCTTTAATGGCCTTGGTTGGCCACTGATAGAGCTGTTCCCTTCTTTCTTACAGGAGTACGTTTTGTGTTTAATGTCAAGCTAAAGTAAACAGAATTCTAGCGTGTAAAAAAGTTTTTATTTTGACATATTGATACATGTTTTATTTGTAGTGAAAACTTCATTAACAGCTTTGCGTGTTGGATCAGGAAGGTTTATTTTAACATCCACAATTTTACAATTAAAAAAGCCAAATTTCACTGTTTAGAAATCAATTGCTAATTATATATGTAATAAATATAATTTTGCTTTATCAAAATGTAATTTTTATTTTTGATAAGTGAACATGTTAAAATTTTGTTTATACTAGTTAAAAATTGATCCTCTAATTAAAATGATTTGAAAAAACAATCAATTCTTACTAATGCGAACTGAGAAATAACCTGCTAAAATACAATTATTACTAATAAAATGTGAATTTTGATGTGTTAATATTAGATTTTTTAGAATTTTTTAACTTGTTAAATGGTGAATTGGCTTACCGTTTACACATTATTTTGTACTTAAAAAAGAACAAAGAAAAAAATTGAATCAAAACTCAAAATAGAACCTGTAGGGCAGCTTCTTCAGCAGAAAGGCTAAGGGATATTGGGGAAGTGGCTGCCAAAAATATGCAAGGTTGAGGGGGAGTTCACAGATCACTAGTGACCTGAGGCATGAATTTAAAGATATATTAAACATTTATAAATATTTACTTTGCTTTAGGGTACACCCCCATTTCCCTAACCCCAGTCACTGAAAGACATGAATGATGTTAAATCAGCTCTCTCACTCTGAGAGGTTTGATATGATGTTAATTTCCACAGCATTGTTTGCCGTGTACTTTTCTGATATGTCTGATGTTATTAATACCGTTTAGGTCCTGTGGAAACACTTACGCACATCAAAGTGTTACCTGTAAAGTTTTTATCTAGAAGAACTTTACAGTGCAGCCTTAACTTTCTGCTGCTTCATCACTCAGCAAATATATGAGGAGCTCAGACGGCAACTGGGTTTAATTTGGTAAATTGCCACGTATAATTTAGAACTAAGGACAGCTTGTTTAAATCAGATGTGAGGGTGCTTAAGAGCAACTCTGAGCACACGCCAAACGTTTCTCTTTGCCACACAGCACCGATTCAATCAGGGTTGAAATGCTGCAGTGCTACAGGTTCATCATTTAATCAAAATAAATTCAGTTTTCTGTTTGCTTCCAGACTGGCAGTAGGTCAGAAAATGGCTGTTCATTTCCCCTCTGAGCGCAGAAGACAGATGGATCGACTCGTATAAGGCCAAAAAAGCACTAACGATGCAAAGACCAATAATTAAGTGGTACCGAAACTCTTAGGGTTAAAATTGTTGTCACACTTCCCAGAGTGCCGAGCCATCCTCAGAATGAGGCTCTCTGTTGTGTAGTTAAACAAGGAAGTTGCGCGCTCCATTCATAAAGCATGCTCTCTTAAAAAAGTGGAGTAGCGCTTTATCAGTAATTGAATTGGCCTTGAAGAGGACGTTTCACAGATTGCGCCTTTAATTGGCTCTCTGAAGGGCAGTGCGGCTTCCAGCTCAGATCACCCAAACAACCAGAGATCAGAAGATGAAACTCTTACTAGTACGCATAAAGGGGATGTGATGCAGTGTGTTTTCAAGGATTTCATTGTTTGTGTAGGCTTTTAAATTTCAGACCATTTAAAAAAGAACCTGAAAATGACCAAACATATTACTTTATACTCTGTGGAACAAATTATGAGAGCAGGTGGTAATAAAATTAAAATAGTAATTAAAAAAGAACAATAAAATAGAAGAAGTATATATATATTTTTAACTTCAGTCTATTGATTCATAATAGCAGCAAACATGCAGAAAAAGCAGGATTTTATGTAAATAGGCAAATTTTAAACTACTACAAGGTACATAAAGGACATTTAGAACAAGACATAAATGCAAAGATATGAGCGAAATCTGTAATACAATTCTGATTAAAAGAAGTAGAACATTTTGGAAGCATGTTACCTTAAATCAACACTAGAACATGATAACTTATGAAAAGGTTTTGTTTCAGATTTAGTTCACCACATACATAAAACGACAGTTTTACCAGGGACCGTAAACTTGTTTGATGTGGTAAATGCTGACTAAATACTAACCCATGTTCTGTTGATCTCCAGTCTCTGCTCCATGCGGACTCCCTACAGCGGACCCATCAGAGTGCCCTGCAGCTGCAGCAAAGGGCGGAGATGATGCTGCAGGCTGGACACTATGACCCGGACGCCGTGCGTGCCTGTGCTGAGACAGTGGCCCTTCATTGGCAGACCCTCATGCTGAAGATGGAGGATAGGCTCAAGCTGGTCAACGCCTCAGTGGCCTTCTATAAGACTTCGGAACAGGTGGGTCGTGTAGGGCGTCTTTGTAACAGTGTTGCCCTCTGGTGGAATGAAGGAGGATTGCAAAAAAGACTGTGTTTAGTGAAGTTTCACATGAAAGGAGAGGAGACAATAAAATGCACACTTTTTCTCGTTGTCCTAAATGTGATAATCAGCCAAGATTTAGGCCCAATCCCATTTCTTATTTTCACCCCTATCATCACCCGAGTTACAACGGGTAGTGGTTGAAATCTTCCCCTAAGAAATGGGACCCTCAAATAAAAAAGAACATTACTTCATTAACAGGCTAGTAGCGCTGCTCTGTAGGGAACACTGCCAGTCTGCAGTGACAGCAGAGGAGGGTAAAGGGTAAAGCAACCTCACTGCTGGGCTTTAGTTACATGTAGGGCAACATATGTCTTCAAAGAGTGTACATGCAATAATTATTTATTATCGCCCGCCGCCAATTCTTCAGTGATATGAAGCTGAAGTCATCTGTCAGCCAGCTTCTTGTTCGAATTGTCCTGTTCCACCTTAAATAGAGCAGCAGTTACATTCTGGCGCTTCAGGCGTCAGAACTGCTGGACTATTTAAGGTGGAACGGCGAATGTAGCCATAGATAACGAGACATTAGCATACTATTAGCGATTTTTTATGCTTGTTATGAAGAAAAGGACCATAATACACTGAAACGACACTGAACTTTGTTAATACAGTCATTTTTTAACTGAGAAAGTACTCATATTTGTGGGTTTCTTTGGTTGCTTGCGCAGCCATCTTGGTGTTTTTTCTTGTTTTCTCATAACAGTCTGTTTGGAGCCTCTCCATCTCAACAAAAATCGGGACACCCTACTCCTAGGTGTGAACGTGCAAAACGGAGGGCTAAAGGCTAAGTGGTGGGGGCGAGGGAGGAATGTTACTGGGCCTTAGTGTCTGAAGTTTGCATCTTTAATTTTGGCTGTTGTAGCTAACAAGTATTAGAAGTAACTATACTTTTTTGATTAGTGTTATCAATGAACTGCACAAAAATTTGGACAGAATTCAGACGGTAAGACGGCTGCTACTTCAGTTTTAAGCTGTGCAGTGGACTTTAGTGTTGTTTTTGTTGATTCATAATGATAAGAGTATGTCATACATACTGTTATAGTCAAAGTGATGGCTGATCGGCTACACTTTGGGTAAAAGGAAAATAGTGTAGATTTGATTTTTTTTTGTTATAATGCTCCTTTAATAGATTTTGTCATGAGTCAGTTTGGAAGAGCTGGGAAATATGTGCATCGTTTACATGAATGTGTGCACGAAAAATGTTAAGCATTCGTTTAATCTGCATGATAATACGACTACATTATTCTGACCTGCTTTCTTCGGCTCTGTGCGTGCAACCTGCTCAGGTGTGTAATGTGCTGGAGAGTCTGGAGCAAGAGTACAGGAGGGAGGAGGACTGGTGTGGAGCGCACGACAAGCTCGGCTCTGCGGCTGACTCGGACCACGTGGCTCCCCTCATCAACAAACACCTGGAGCAGAAAGAGGCCTTCCTCAAGGTTAAACACACACACTCATTTACTCTCATGCTCGTGGTAACAGAGTGCTCAGATACAGCTGCCTCAGGCTAAGACTCTGCAAACACCTCTACAGTTTAGGGTCAACCTGTTTACAGTACTGTGTGCATTTTTCAGTGCCAGGAAAAATGCTGAAAACATATATTTATAAATATAATATCAGTTTTTTTGTACAGCTTATACAAAATGCATCAGTATGCATCCTAACAAAAACAAAACAGAGAGATCACATTCCTCCCGTTTTAACAAACTGCACTGGCTGCCTGTATCGTTCAGGATAGATTTTAAAGTTCTGCTGCTAGTTTTTAAGGCTCTAAATGACCGTAAAGAGTGTCTGTCTGTTTATGTTCCAGCATGTGATCTTAGATCTGCAGATACTGACCCATAAATATCCTCTGTAAAATACAGGAAACATGAAGAGGGCTTGTTCAGTTATTCTGCTTGTAAACTGTGGAGCTCAATTCACGTTTTATTAGACAGTCAAGCTCAGTGCTCACTTTTAAGAAGCATCTAAAAATGTATCTTTTAACTTTGTGTTTAATTAATACTCTACGTCTCTTTGTATGTATCTTTTAATTTGATTAATACTTTTAATTGCTTGGATTACTGTTAAGCTTTATCACCTGTCTGTAAAGCACTTTCAGCTGCCACCTGCATGAAAAGTGCTATATAAATAAAAAATATTATTATTTAACTATTAGTATTATAATTTTTTTTTTTCTGTATTTTATGCGTCCGGCCTTTGTTACACCTTCCGTTCTTTTCTGCAGGGATATTTTTTCCACACCTCCAAAGTTCAGTCTCAGAAGTTAGTTGCATTTTCATATTCTAACAAAATTCAAATTCACATCACATGTTGAAATCTGGACTTTGGAGTGGTCAGTCCATTGTTCTTTTTTGTCAATTTCCTTTTGTCAGTAAGAGCTTCTTGACAGCTACACATCTTTTCAGACTCATAGTGTTGAGTTGACTTCTCACAGTGGAAGGATGGACAGAATTAGGAGTGGAGCTGGTTTTTCTGCTGTCTCTCAGATCTTGGCCAGTTGTTTTTTAGTCCCATTTTCTCAGTATCTTGTAATAATTTTATAGACTACCAGTTTTGGAAACTCCTGTTTTTCAATTAATGGCCATTTTGACTGGAAATGAAATAAATAAAAGGGGGTCTCTGGCTGTAGTACTGTACCTTGTTAGTCCCTTGTCATATGAAGCGTGATTCATCATGTTGTATCATTTAAAGGAAAAATTCTGTTTTCTCATAGTCGTGGTACTGAAGGAAAATGCATTATGATTTCTGTTTCATGCTACATTGCTACATTGCTACATTACTACATGTAAAATCACTGCATCCAGTAAATGTTTGTACAACACATTAAAAATATGAGCTCATATGAACATACAAATATATGGCAATAAAGCAAGAAGTTCAGGGTAGACTTTTTCTCTAGAACCAGATAATGAGATAAGTTAATATGATATAATTCATATTGTTGTCACTTGCAAACCTATGACAGGGAGACCTGTAACTGAACAAGGACATACAGTGCAACTGATATGAAGCTTATAATTTGGGGCTTTTATTTCATACACTAGTTTTTGACTACGTATTCATGAGACCCTGCTGGTGTGGGTTTAATACCTGTTATATCCATTTCAGTGATGCTATTTGAGGGCAAATAGCTCCCTGTGTAGAATCTTCAGCCTGCTAAACATAAGTCAGTTAGTTATAAGCCAAGAAGTGCTTCACATGTAAAAGCAAGTAGACAGAAGATCAGGTTAAGGTGGGTTCTCCGTTCTCTGAAGACTGTGTCGTTTTCTGTTCAGGCCTGCACTCTAGCCAGACGGAACGCCGAGGTCTTTCTGAAGTACATCCACCGCAATAATGTCAGCATGCCAGGGGTCACCAGCCACAACCGCGCTCCTGAAACACAGGTCAAAGGTCAGTCTAAATAATGACCAGAAATGTTGTATAATACACATACACTTGTCTTTTACCCATAGGAGTCTGTTTTTACTGCTTTTCTAGACATTTGAATTACATTCAATAATTATTTATATATAATTAAATACTAATAAATTTAGTCACATTATGAATTATGTATTGGCAGGTTTTTGTCAGGCACTTTCAATCTTTTTCTATTTGTTTTAATGTCAAAAAATGACTAAAACATGGTAAAAATGTGAAGGATAACTTTTCGCTCCACACAACATGATCATACAACAATAACATTTCATCGAATTCAAACCACAATAACCTTTCTCCTTTTCTCTGTACTAATGTTTTAATATGTTTATGTGTTTGCTGTGATAGCCATCCTGAGCGAGCTGCTCCAGAGAGAGAACCGTGTACTGCATGTCTGGACCCTGAAGAAAAGGCGCTTGGACCAGTGCCAGCAGTATGTGCTGTTTGAACGCCATGCAAAGCAGGTGAGGAATTTTTGCTGAACTAAAGAGACTTTCTAAATGTAGTGGCTGATTTATTGTGACAGTAATGGGTGTAATGTAAAGGTCTGCACTCACGCAGATTCTCGCAGGATCCACCACAACATCTTGCAGCAAGGGACTAATTTTTAGTGTGGGCGGGAAACCAGCCCACTGTAGGTGGGAGCGGGCCGAAATCCCGCAAATTAATCAATAGCCTGTATAAAGTGGAGCAATCACTAAATCATTTATAAACAATATAAAATGATAACAGTAAAACAGTTCAAATGAATGAAGTCATTCTAAAGAGCTGCGAAACAACCAATGATTTGAACAGCAAACAAATTCTCGTAGCTTACAGAGACGGCGGAGCCTTCAGTCCGACGGCTACAGCTGCCCAACAAAACACAAAAATAACTGTTCTGTGGTTTAATTCCTGCTTTGTGTTTACAGGGAGTAAATGCTGTATGGTGAAGTTACTTCACAGGAACCTTGATGACCATGACTGCTGTGTTATTTCAGCAGATAATATATTTGTGAATAGACTAATCGCCTTAACGGAACTGCGCGGGCGGGAGCGGGACAAAACATTACGGTTGCGGGTGGGAGCGGGACAAATGATTCAGATTTTCTGTGGGAGCAGGCAGAAGCGGGACAAACAGTCCCGTGCCGACGTCTAGTTTGATGTGTGCTAAAGAGTTTGACAGAACTAAAATCTTGTAAGTAATAACTTGTTTTGATGTTTGTTAGTCACTAATGGAGGGAAAGTATACTTTTTGGTCCATGAAGAGGTCATTTAAAATAATAGTAAACAAGCAAGTAAAAGGTCAATAACAAGATAATATTTATTCTGTTTTTCTTCTCTCTCTGTGTCTCATTTGCTCTTTCTATCAGGCTCTGGACTGGTTGCAGGAGACTGGTGAGCAGTATTTATCCACACACACATCTCCGGGCGAAACCACAGAGAAAACTCAGGAACTACTGAAAGAGTACGAGGAATTCCGTGTCTCTGCAAAGGTACGGCAGCAATGCTGTCAAGAACAGTTACACCAACATTGTATTCTTATTGGTGGATGACTGATTTCATTAATATACATTAACAGTGCGTTTGTAGGAAATGTATGGTACTTCTGTTGTTTATTTCCGTTCATACCCACAAAGTGCACAGAATGAATGCAGCAAAGAATTACAATCAGTTAACAATGACTCATGTGACCATTGTTTTAAATCAGGGAGTCAAGCCACAGCACTGCAGAGCTTAGCATTCTGCCTCATTAAACACACCTAATTCAACTCATTAGCTAATGAAAAAGACCTTCATGATAGCTAATGAACAGCATTAGAAGATAAACACTAATCTCTGCAGAGCTATGGCCCTCCGGGGTGTGAGTTTGACCACTACACCCATGCTGATTGCTCCGTTTGGTGATCTCCATAACCTGTATGAGCTGTTGTTACTCTGATCATGTGAATATTTCCATATCAGTAAACAGCTGTTGCAATGCAATGGTAGCAACATCGCTTGCCTCTGAGTTTGTGTACTTATAAATGTTTAGTATAATTTTTGTCACTTTACTTTGGTGTTTTACACAAAGCATGCATGCATTTGTGAGATCCCGTTGGTTGCAGTTCCTGACAGTTTCCTCCCTTTCAGTGATGCACACAAATGCTTCTTAACTTTTTGCAGTGCCCCCTTGTGGAAAATCTTGAGCCTGCTAAACGTGAGTGTGTATGTGTGAGTTACAAGCTAGGTCCATGAGGTGCTTTGCAACTAAAAAAAAAGTTCATTGGAAAACAAAAATGAAAACTGTAGTTATGTTAGGTACACAGTAACATCATGGCAACTTGGGTCTTCCAATCACTTTGTAATGCCACCTTGGATTTCTACTCCAGCAAACCCAGGAGAAGGTGAAGCTGTTGATTCAGCTTGCTGGTAGCTTGGTGGAGAAAGGCCATGTACATGTGACTGAGCTGAAGAGATGGGTGTCCACCGTGGATCGGCGCTACCGGGATTTCTCACTGCGCATGGGCCAGTACCGCTCAAGCCTGGACCGAGCGCTAGGACTGTGCTCTGAGGTGGGCAACTCATCGTAATGCAAGGAGCTTTCTAGTAAAAGCATACTTCACCAAATAACACAAATGTGGCTTGTAATGCAGGAAAGGTAATAGGTTAAATGGAAATGAATCATGCTAGTTCACTGAGACATTAAAATTATTGAGTGAAGAATTTTAGTAATCTTTATCATTTGGCAGCGTTTATAAGGCCGTATGACATCTACATAAGCTCATCATGACAACTGATGTGAACCTACCTAAACATTTATGGTAACACTTTACTGTAGGGTGCTGTTCATAAGGTTACATGACACGTACATAAGCTTGTCATGACAGCTGACATAACCCTATATAAATGTTTATAAATGCTTATTCCATTAGGCGTCATTCACTATAAAGGTTACGTTTGCCAATTTTCATCAAAGTTAGCTAAAGTAGCCTTTATGACAGATGACGCCTGTTGGAATAAGCACTTATAAACAGTTATGTAGGGTTTTGTCAGTGGCCATTGCAGGCTTATGTAGGTGTCATGTAGTCATATGAACCCCACCCTACAGTAAAGTGCTACCACATTTATAGAGGCTCATTACAAGTTGACAGGTGCCTTGGGTGAAATGATATGACATGATATGACTTTGAGCTCAGTGTATATTACAGTGATATAATGCTGATGACATGACATACCTTAGATCTTATAAATCATAAAAAGGGCTCATTTTTGTCCAACCAGCCTGACGTGGCAAGCTGCATATTATTAGTATCATGTGACTATGACACGCACTGAGCTACAAGTCTACAGCATTTCACCCCAAAAAGTGTAAAAACACAACCCAATGTAAAAAAAAGTCATCTGACATAGATATTATGACAAGTTAATGTCAGAGCAGATGACACCTATTGGAATAAGTATTCAGAAATGTTTAGATATAGTGGAGTCCAAAAATCTCAGAGCACCCTGAAAATCTGGTATTATTTTCATTTAAACCTGGAAATAAAAAGCAGAAGGTTTTAGAATATTGAAAAAGTTAAAACAAAGAAGGTTTATGACAAAATTATGAAGAAATATTAGTAATTCTGCACTTCTGGGTCACTTCAAATTGAAGCAAATTTGTGAAATTGACCGTGTGAAAGCTTTTGTTCAGACAACTCTGGTGTGGATCTGATCTACTGATTAGAGGCTTTTGCCCAAGCCCCTCCGTGCCATCTTGAGCGTACACTGTCATTAAGGGGGACAAACCAAATACTGATAAATTCAGAAGTTCATGCAGATATTCAAAGAGTCTACTTGTCACTCAAACTGTTATGCTGATAATATCATTTGTAATGCAGAACTTTATATCAAATTAGAAAGGAATGCAAAATAAAAGCATCTTTAACAGTGGTGGTTTTGGGTCCCACTGTCGGTCTATAATAGCTGTCATGAAAGGTTTACATAGGTGTCGTGTAGAGTCTTTCAGTAAATTGTTACCAGAATTTCTGTAAATCTATCAGGACAGAATTCTTCTCTTCTTTGTCTTTGATCCTTCACTCTCTGTTTTCAAGGTCTGTGCCTTTCTCCTTTATTGTGGCTCATTTGAGTTGACATCACTAATCTAGTCTGCTTAGCGTAAATTAAACATTGTGTTCACTGAAGTTTTGAAGGCATGTATCACTGCACTATTCTATTGTCTCTGACAGGACAATAAAGATTTGGAGTTGGACATTATTCCTGCCAGCCTTACCCACACTGACCCAGAGGTCAACCTCAATGACCCCAACCACGAGGTCAACGAGGAGAAAAAGAAATCGGCCAGGAAAAAAGAGTGAGTAAAGCAGCCGACAAATAATGTAATAATGAAACTCAGTTCTGAACTCGTCTGCACAGAGTTTTCTTCCGTTGCTTAAAAGTTCTATCAGTCCGGCTCATTATCCCATCATTCCTAGCACTGTGTTTTTTCATGTGCTCTCTCTGTGATCAATATTTCAGACTGCAGTCCTTTTTGTGATGTTCAACTAAGGTTTCTCTGTTCTTGCAGATACATCATGGCCGAGCTGCTGCAGACAGAGAGGGCGTACGTGAGGGACCTGCAGGAGTGTTTGGAGGTGCGTTTCAGTCTTTCGAATGTTGGAGTGCCCTCAAAATATTAAACACTCCAGCCTAATCAATTTCATGGATTTTATCTAGAGACAGAGTTAATTAGATTAGTTAAGTCCAAAGTTATGATTGCTGTTTTACTTCACAGTAGATTTAGAATGTGTCATTAAAATGTCAATTAAATAATTAATTTCAATTACTTAATTAAATAGAAATTAAATGATGTATGTACATTTTAATGCACAATCAAGTGTTTACTGAATTTAAGTTATTTAAAAAAAATATATAAAATGTTTTTCAATAAGTTATAACTTAGTAAATAAGTAGAATGTATGCACTAAAATTTGCAGAAAATTGTTTGTTTTTTTCCTGTAGAGAATATATTAACTTATTTTCACTTAGAAAATCAACAAAACATTTGACCACATTCCACTGTCCAATTTGACCGAGGACCCACACTTTAGCATACGACTGTAAGCGGTGTTAAATGAATGGATCACAGTTCCCTTTGATTACTATTCCAGCATATGAATTGATGGTAGACTCCTTTAGGACTAAATTACACATACATTGTTTACTGAAAGCTGTTTCATTGCCTGGATTAGTCTAAATGCTATGCTAAAACTAGCCACTAGTGTTCCCTCTCTTTGCAGACATTCCTGTGGGAGATGACAAGCGGGATGGATGAGATTCCACAGGGAATCGCCAACAAGGAGCATGTCATCTTTGGGAATATTCAGGAAATCTACGATTTTCATAACAAGTACTGCACACATCCTTCAAATTGGCTCTTTATTTATCCTTTAGATATCTGAAGTTATTATGCTATTTTACTATACATACATCTTTCATAATTGCTAAATTGTAATTATATGAGTACATAACACAATAAATAGTTATAATGTATTATGTTTACATTTGATTTTACATTCTATAATCTGTACTGATTTTTTTCTGCTTGTTTTAAGTTCAAATAGTAACAAAAACATGGCAAAAATGTGAAGAATATATATTTTTCTTTCACAAAACAAAACAAAACAAATAACTATCAAATTCAAGTTTCCTCTTCTTACAAACTCAAATGTGGTTTTGATTGAAAGAATAAAATTCCATGCTTATGTTTTCGTTGCCAGTAACTGTGACTTCTAAGAGTTCATGATGATGTGAACACATTTTATTGCTTGTACAGTCTTTTACTGGCATTATTCTGCTATATTGCTCTGCTGTAAACAGGCAAATTGTCACTGTTGTTGTTTCTAGTATTTTCCTGAAAGAGCTGGAGAATTATGAGCAGCTGCCTGAGGATGTGGGGCATTGTTTTGTCACATGGGTAAGAAGCCATCATCCAAATATCCATCTACGTATAATAACCTATCCATTTGCTTAGAATAGCCTATCTGTCTACCTCTATTACAGCCCTGCCTGGTAATGTGCAGTAACCATTGTGCCTCATTGAGCCTCAGTGTCCGCAGTGCTGTTTAATCTAACATACCTAGGATGTTCACAATGATTACGATGACTACACACACTGAGGTTATAGTTAGCTGCCACATATTAAATTAGATTGTGAATTTGGAATCCGAAGACTTACAGTGTTATTGCCTCTGTGTTTCACAGGCTGATAAGTTCCACATGTACGTTACCTACTGCAAAAACAAGCCGGACTCCAGCCAGCTCATCCAAGGCCAAGCTGGGCGCTTCTTTGACGTGAGTTACCTCATGCTTTTTTCTCCCATGTCACTGCTGGTGTGAGGGTCTAGTACACAGTTAGATGGCAGCAGAGAGCTTCCAGTGATCCACTCAGTGCATTCTGAAGTTGGACTTAAGCACTAGGGCTGATTCTGGACCAGCTTATGGTACTTAAGCTGTAATTATAGCAGTTATATAGACGTCTTGCTAAAATAAGCCTTAGTCATTGTAATAAGGCTAACTAGTTATGTAGGCACATACTTCAATTCTTCAGCTACATAACTTACATATTAGTTTCATAGTAGTTAGTGAATAATGTCTAGTAGTTATTGAATATTTTTAGATTCATAGTTGAAGAATAAGCTTAAAGTTCAAGAGATTAACCCCTTAACAAGCCATGGAAGGCCCAAAGTATAATTACACACTTCTATAAGAATAGCTCCATTAGTTTGCATTGAAGTTCCTGTAGCTACTGAATAATAAGCCTTTCTATGTAATAAGGCTGAAATGTTAAGGGCTTAAACAGCACAGAAAAAACCTGGTTGGCAGTTGAAACATGGCTGGAATGCCACAGTTTTATTGTAGCAAAACTAAATAATTTTGCAAGAATATTGCTGTGTGCCTGTTTGAAGTATTTTAGCACAAATACTTCTAAACATGCATTCCCTCATCAAGTCCAGCAGTATGAGTCATTTAAAACTTTACTGTTATGTTACTATTTATCTTCTTATTTTTTTTTTTTATATTAATCTGTTGGTTTACTTAAAATAATTTGTGGCTGTCTCAAGATTATTTTTCCTAGTTTTAGGTGAAGCTGTTACTTGGTTTCTCCTTATTTGAATTGGTCATGAAAGAGTGGTCTGCTGTTTAAATGCTAATGAGCTCTCGTGGTGTCTGGAATGTGTGTATTCTGTAGGAGATCCAGAGAAGACACGGGCTGGCCAACTCTATCTCCTCCTACCTCATCAAACCTGTACAGAGGATCACCAAGTACCAACTGCTGCTAAAGGTGCAGGAGAGATGTGGGGGGCGGGGAGACCTGGGGGAAACGTCAATAATACATACGAAATATGTGGTATTTGGTTGATCAAAACATATTTGGAATTGCAAAATTAAAGAAGTTGCACTGGAGCTACAAGACTAATGTAGCTAACAAGTAATAGAAGTTCATAAATAGTTCTGTGTACATTGTACAGGTCTCAGCAGTAGTATCTTAAAGCCTGAAGGTTGTCTGTACATTTGGACATTTTTGGACAAGCTCATAGCTCCAGTGCAAAACCAGAGAAGCAAACTTGCAAGCCTGTCTCGGCTGATGGACTACACTGGGGCTACCTTTGATTTTTCACTTTTTACATGCAAAGTTCTGAGTGTTTTTGTGATGTATTTGCATGTATTTGTGTATGTGTGTGATAGGAGTTGTTGACATGCTGTGAAGAGGGGAAAGGAGAGATAAAGGAAGGTCTGGAGGTGATGCTGAGTGTGCCTAAGCGAGCCAACGATGCCATGCATGTGAGCATGCTGGAGGGTAAGCACAAACTGCAGCATCACCACATATATATTGACATTTTAATCTAAAGGCTTATGTTTGAATGCCTGACACACATACAGTACAATTTATTCATTTTTCAGTGTCAGAAAAAAAAGTAGTAAAGAAAATCATCAGAAATTTGAAGAAAAGCCCCCCACATGTATAAGTACCTCCACAAAGTATAAGATCAAATCTATCAGTATTTAATTTGTCCACTTTTCACTTTTTTGCACCCTATTGCCATTTTAACGGTTCCATCCTTCTTATTTTAAAACCTGAAAGTTACAGCTGTGTCCTCCCAATGTACTCTGTTCCCAAAGAAGACACTGACATTCTGTTCTCCTTCAAAACGGCACTAACATTCACACCAACTACCCAACCACACTTTGCTGCTTTGCAGATTTCTTTCTCATGTGCCTCTAAAATGGCTAAGGGAGATATTTCTGAGGAGGGTCAGTATAAGGAATGGGAAAGTCCAGGAGCTTCCAAAACTAGAGTTCAAAAATGATTCAAAGAACGTGTCCTGCCTGACTGCACTGTGCCAGCTGTAAAGTTTGGTGGAGGAGGGATGATTCTATGGGGTTGTTTTTCAGGGGTTGGCCTAGAACCCTTAGTTCCAGTGAAGGGAAATCTTAATGCTTCAGCACCAAGACATTCTGGACAATTCTATGCTTCCAACTTTGTGGGAACAGTTTGGGGAGGAACCCTTTCTGTTCCAGCATGACTGAGCCCCACTGCACAAAGCAAGGTCTATAAAGGCCTGGCTGGGTGAGTTTGGTGTGGAAGAATTTGACTGGCCCTCACAGAGCCCTGACCGCAACCCCATCAAACACCTTTGGGATGAACTAAAACGGAGACTGCGAGCCAGGCCGCCTCGTCCAACATCAGTGTCTGACCTATTAAATGCTCTTCTGGATGAATGAGTAAAAATTCCCACAGACACTCTCCAAAATCTTGTTGAAAGCTTCCCAGAAGAGTGGAAGCTGTTGTAGCTGCAAAGAGAGGACCAAATCCATATTAATGCCTATGGATTTAGAATGGGATGGATTCAAAAAAGCTCCTGTAGGTGTAATGTGTAGGTGTCCAAATACTTTTGTCTGTGTAGTGTATCTTTACTATTATTCTTAAATGTGGGAAGCAGCAAAAATAAGGAAAACTTTCTGTGTAGGTGTGTCCAAACCTTTGTCCAGTACTGTATATCTATATTGTATGTTAATCATTGTCTTGCAAACAACAGACCAAAAACATTCATATATAAGCAGTTTCACTTGATCTAATGTGTATGGAGGGTCACAGCTGTCTTAGTCAGCCTCATTTTGGACGTGTGGAATTGAACGTTACTAGCTGAGAAAACGTGTCCCGTCTTGTCCAGATAAAGTCTTAGTATCTGATTCAAGTTTTGAATTGCAGAGTTCTGGTTCAGAAGTGCCAAACTTTTACTGTGCTTGTAGGTTTTGATGAAAACCTGGCTGTTCAGGGGGAACTGATCTTACAGGACACGTTCCAAGTGTGGGATCCCAAATCCCTGATCCGGAAAGGCCGAGACCGCCACCTCTTTCTCTTCGAGATTTCCCTCGTCTTCAGCAAAGAGATGAAGGACTCGTCGGGTCGCACAAAATACGTCTATAAGAGCAAACTACTGGTATGACAAACAAGTGGTTCTCTCTTTTTTGTTGGTGAACCCCTAGAAGTCTCAGTTATCACCAGTCATAACCAAAGCATAGTGTAATTATTTGTTATGTTTATTATAAATGTATCATTAAAATAAGCAGAGAAATTCAATGGAAAAGATGGAGTGTAAACTTTTAGTCAATGCTACATTTGTTTTGTAAATAGAAAAAGAGATATTTTGTTGTGATTTGAATTTGATGAAAAGTTGTTGTGAATGTAGTGTTGTTCTATGGCAAGAAATCATTGTTTACATTTTGCTGTGTTTTTATCATTGTTGTGACATTGAAAAAACAGGAAAGGTCACACATAGATTTGAAATTGAATGCACAAAGTAAATTGAACGTATGAGTGAAATTTATTGCATAACGAATGCCTGCATACATTGCCTGCATGTCTGCGAATGGTATTATCTATTAATGAAAGCTAATTCAAATCAAACCAAATCAACTGGAATTGCATTGAATTTGTATGCTGGTCCAGTGCAGAGTCCAGAGGGGCCCACTGAAGCTACAGTGTAGTAACATTAGAACAGACTGTCATCTGCAGGAAAGCTTTACTAATATTATACTAATGATATACTAATTGTTAAGGGTGGTACCATTTATTTGAATTCCCAATATATTCCTAGTTTTAACCATATCCTTCATAATTTAACACTGCCTTTGTTATCAATTCTGTATTTTACAGACTTCAGAGTTGGGAGTGACGGAACACATTGAGGGAGACCCCTGCAAATTTGCTCTGTGGGCTGGACGCACCCCCACATCAGACAGCAAAACCATCCTTAAAGTAAGACTGGTACTTGCTCTTAATTGAATATGTACATATGCCATATATTCTTATGAAACCACCTCAAACATGTCTATAAATATTTGTCATTAGCACCACACAAATAAAAATATTCATGTAATTTACTAGATCAACAGGAGCTCTATATGGTATTGCAAATAGTATTTGGAGTTCATTTTCCTATTTTAACTTTTTTGTACCCTATTTCTCTTTATGCCAATATGCCCACATATTTGTTTCTCATTACCAATATTTACGATATTTTTTTTTACTTGGAAAAAATTGAATCTCTTTACTTTAGTGTCTTTCTTGTAAACTTGCTTTAACATACTTAGTGTAACAACAGTATACAGATTGTGAAAAGAAAGGGTTTCAAATTTTCTATCTATAGATAGAAAATGTAGTAATTTAAATTAGAAATGTTACTAAAAATCAATTTAAAATCAGTTTTAATAAAAAAAAGAAACAATAAATTTAGTCATTTTTTTCTGAAGTTGGGTCCCATGTTTATGAGAATAACCCAAATAACCCAAAAAGCAAACTTTTTGGGATTCTTGCCTTTTCAAATGTTTTTTAATACCAATAAGTGTGATTTCTTTCATTTTGTGATAATAAAGCATATTAAATTCTAACCAGGTTTATTTTGTGGATCAAACAAAAAAAATGAAAGTATACATTACAAACAAAGTTGATGAATAGTCTGGAATGCCTGGAAAAACTGTGTGAAGAAAGTGTGTGCAGCATTTAATGGTTTCTTCCCTGTACTTGTAGTTACTGTCATCAGTATGTGCACATGTAATATAGTTATATAGTTTTTTCTCAAAATAAATCTGGTCTTTAACTTTAAGATATTGCAAACCAGTGAATTAAACATGATCATTTATTAACAACATTTTTTGAAAAGTGAAGTATCCTCGAATTTTGGCAACTATTCATGTGCTGTCTTTATGTTTCCCTGGTCACATGAGCTGTGCTCTGCACTGCTCACATGCATGCTCATTTTTCTGCATTCTGCAGGCATCCAGTATGGAAGTGAAGCAGGAGTGGATCCGGAAAATTCGGGAGGTAATCCAGGAGAGGACAGTGCATCTGAAGGGGGCGCTAAAAGAGCCAATTCACTTGCCCAAAACCCCAGCCAGGCAGCGCAGCGTCAGCAAGAGGTGCACTACACTATCCCTATCTGTGGCCAGATCTTAATTTCATAGCATCCCTTTTCTTCTTTATATTGTTTCTTTCTTTCCCTTGCTGTTATCTTTCTCTCTGTGATTCTTTCCTTTCATACATTTCATACAATTCATAACCTGTTCTAAAGGCTGGAATCGATATTTTCAGTATATTTGAATCAATGGTTGCATATAAATATGTAAAATAATTCTAATATGCTTGCCCTGTAATAATACATCATTACATACTTGTTGATTCCAAAATGCTGGAAATACTGAGTAGTTTTATTATAGTCCATAATAATTACATCTCAATTGTAAATGTTTTCATTGTATATAATAATAGAATAATATGACTAATAATATAAAGTACTATACAAAATCAACTTTTCCTCTCATTTTTTTAAAATGAGAGTTAGATGTAAAGTTTCAGGACATACCATTGACTCCCCAGTCCATACAGTCCATACGTGGGAACTAAGCTGCAAAAACAGCCCATATTGAATTCACTGTTTTTGTGATTTCACAAAGACCAATACATTTACATATACCTGCTTATTCAGCCTGCCCAATCACCCTAAAGTTATAAGGAGTGTTTTCAGTTTATGAATAACGCACAATACAGGGCAGCCAATCAGAATAGAGCTTATTTACATGTTAGTCTTAAAGGCCCAGTAATGAAAACTGGCTGTTTAATTCTAAGGGGTAAAGAAATGTTGAAAAATTGTCATATTAAAATGAATTATGACTGTTTTTGGTGCATAAAACCACAAATTACGTGTCATTATTCAGGGACAACACTGAAGATGCAGACAGTCAGGGTGATGCCAGCAGCCAGCCGGACACGATCTCCATTGCATCACGAACATCCCAAAACACGGTGGACAGCGACAAGGTATTAGCATGGTCTTCACCACACTACGCATCGCGTCAGCCATCTTCACTGTGACACATACTACCCTGTTCTCGTCTGAAAATCAGTGTCGAAGGTCACTGGTTAGGTTAACCGAAATTTCCTTATTTTACCTGTTTTTCACATCTTAGAATAATACTGAAGACAATAAAACTACGAAATAACAAATATGGGATTATACAGTGGCCAAAAGCATTAAACAACTCCAGCTATCTTCTGTTTTAGATTTTTTTTAATTTATAAACCTTAAAAACATAAAGTACATACCTAAGCTTGAACTTTAGTATTAAATTTTAAGCGTTTAAGGGTAAGACTTTAGATCAAAATTGGCTTGGCAAAAGGTTTAGCGTTGGAGCCTCAAGGCTAACATTACAACACTAGAAGTCAATAGTCACCCAAATCTTTTCTGTGAATTCATCCCCTAAACTTCTCTCAACCCACTCTAACCTCATTCAGGTCTTCAGTAAGGCTGTGCAGACTTGTCAGTATTATTTAGGACACAGTAAAAATGACTGAGCTATAAAAATGAACAAAATGTCTTTGTATAGCTGAGTGCAGAGGCAGCCATTTTAGACAACAGTGTTGAATTCTGCTGAATTCTGACTCCCCTTTGCGTGCACAGTGTCATGCAAGCATATGAACACTGCAAATGAATAAGGCTCAGCGCTGGTTCTCTAAAGTGGCTTCCACCAGCGTTCGGCTGCACTGTGAATTTGTTTTCGTTTTTATAGCTCACAGTAAGTCGTTCTACTCTAGACCACACAGACAGGTCTGCACGACCTTAATGAAGGCCTGGATGTGGGTTGAGAGAACTTCTTGGGATGTATTTACAGAAAAGATTTGGGTGACTATTGACTTCTTAATGTTTCTTAGCAACAGCCTTGTAGCTACCGCACTCAACCAAAGACACAAACCTTAGGCACCAAACATGTCTTGGCTGACTGACAGCATCTGAGGTAAGTGGGAAGTTTTTTCACCAAACCATTCTTTTAAGTTTATGAGAAATATACATTCAATGAGGTATGTCCAACCTTCTGACTGGTACTGTATATTCAGTGAAATATAGAATTAGAACTTCATAACTCAGTAATTCTTTAGAGATCCTGAAGTAAGTATAAAAGACCTGTCTGAGTGCACTTGTCATCAGTGCTGTGCGTAGGAGTGGAGAGGAAGTGTCTGGGTGTGTGTGTGTGTGTGTGTGTCCAGGGATGTCTTCCCTCTGTGGAAATTCTGACCTGTTGTCCTGTCATGGCGTGCGTTTGGGAACGTGTGTGAATGTGGGTGTGTGTGTGGGTGTGTGTAACTGGTTCAGCAGTGTGCACAATGTTAGGGTGTGCCTATATTCTAAACTTTAGAATTTGTCACATTCAAAGCTTTCATACTTTAGTTCTGCCTACAAAAACACAGCATTTAAAACAGTAAGCTTCTTCTTTTCTCCTACTGGCCACACGCTTCTTAAAATAGAGCACATTTAATATGTCCCGAGTCAAAATGCCAGCCTGAGCTTTCCTGAGCTACTCCTTTCATGTTTTGTTTCAGGCAATATATATTTAGTGGTTGGTGTAATTGTCAGATTGGCATGCAGCATTGTGAGGGTTTGTGTTTGTCCCCAGCACTGTATAAAAAGTGACACTATTTTTGTGGACTGCATGAATCACTGTTTCTCTTTCCTCTTTCTTCACGTCTTTTTATCGTCTGGTTTCGGTGTGTTGTTTGTTGCCCCATTCCACTTAGTGCCAGTGAGACAGACACTCAGCAGGTGCTGGTCTCAGGTCAGTTACTTTCGTGAAACAGCTGACCAGAGGTCATTTTCTGTCTGTGAGCTTCCACTGTGTAATTTACAGAATCTCCACTGCATATTCCAGTTCATTTTCTCTCTGTCTTCCAACTTAACTCAAAGAAGCTTTACTGACATGACTATTTTAAGTTACAGTGTTGCCAAAGCATTCAGAAGTGTTCATGATACATCAGTCTGTTAGCAGTAAACACACACGCACACACGCACACACTGTATACAGTATATACAGTATTTTTTACTTTATCCCTTCAACAATCCAGGCTTATTACATACTAAGGCGTATCATTCAGTAACTACAGGGACTTCAGTGCAAACTAATGGAGCTTTTCTTAAGTTAAACTTAACTGTACATTTTAGCTGTAGTACTGTACAGAGGTGAGAGACCACTCTTATTTAATTTCCAGTGAAAACATCCATTAAGTTGAAGTTAATAATTTTTAATTATTTTCCAAAAGGAAAATTAGAGTGGGATGATGGGACCCTTAACAACCATACAAGACCTGGTAAATTACACAGTTGTTTCTGTCCATCCTTCCACTCTGAGGAGACAACTCAACGCGATTGGTCTGATATGTATAGCTGGTGAGAAGCCCTCACTGAGAAAAGGAAAATAAATAAAAAAAAATAATAATAATGCAAACAAACAAAGCAGCTGCTGGTGTTCTCAGAACAATGGACTGACCACCCCAGAGTCCCAACCCCAACATAGTTCATTGTGTTTGGGATTATGTGGATCTTGTAAAGCAGAGCATGCAGCCAAAATTTAAGGCTGAACTTTGGAGGTGTGAAAGGTAACCTTGCAGATTTCTTTTAAAAACTGAAAGCACGCCTCCTGAAAAGAATGGATGCTGAGATAATAGTAGAGTGTGGACACATTACATACTGAAAAATATGATATTCTATTTAGTTGCTGGGGTTATGTGTAATTTTCTGTTAAATATGTTTTCGTCTTTGTTTCCTGGTGCCAAAAATAAACAACTTGTACTCAATGACAGTTTTGGCTGAAAATAAATCAGTTAAATAAATGAAGGGTGACCTCTGATGTCTACATAGTACTGTATTTACATTACACGGCAAACCAACATCTCTCTCTCTGTCATGCTCCGTAACTGTCTCTATGGAGTTATTGTAACACTCAGTGTCTACTTGAGCACAGATGTCATTGTGGTTTTGGGTTTTGGCGCATGTGTGTAGTGTGTGGGTGGCTGTGTGAGCTCTGTAGCACTGTGAACAAAAAATACCCAATATGACTTTCCTGGGCATTTGGATGCTTATGGCACTGCATACTCTGTGGAACTGGTGTGGAAGTGTGTGTGTGTGTGTGTGTGTGTGTGTGTGTGTGTGTGTGTGTTTGAAAGAAAGAAAGAAAGAAAGAGAGAGAGATTTGGTTTTAAGTGCCAGTCCACTCTGTGGTTGCTGCAGTGGTCAAATGGTCAAATGGTCAAATAGTCACCCAAGCAAGTGACTGAATCAGCTCAACCTCATGATCTTGGATGTTCCCTTGGTCAGAAGTTCAGCTTTATTTTTCTCATTGTGCAGTAATATTATATTATGTATATTTATATTTAACTTCTTGAAATGCCCAATAAAAACCTTTACTGTCAGTTCAGTTGCATGCTAATTGACAAGTCTGACTCGGACAACTCACAACTCAAATCTGACTAACCTAATTGACTCTCGACTGGAATTGGATTCAACACTGATGACTGGCGAATTTTTTAGCCAGAAAAAAGTATGACCAAAACCTTTTCTTTCTGACCTAGTTGGTCCATTTTTGCCTGTCAGTTTTATGACTGTCATGCATGCTCATTTATTCTGATGCCATTAGCCGAGTTTCCATTCAAACTGAAATTTCGCAAAATGACGTAGGCTGCTATGATTAGGGGCTGCATCGACACGAGCAAGATAGAGAGATTTTACTCAGTTTTTGTTTTAAATAGAATTATCTTTGCAGCCGTTTGTTATCTTTCTATGGCCATGTTGTTTGCAGCTTAGAGACACCGGGCAGGACCAGTAATGGACCAACTAATGAGGGCTGAAGTCTCTGTGCTACCCTGACAACGTCCACCTTGCATCTGGGAACCAAAACACACCAGACAGTTCTGAGAGCACATTGTGCAGAGACATTTTTCAAACTAGCTTTGGATTTGGCATTTCAGAAAGTCGAAAGCAACCTTAGAAAAGTGTAAACTTTAGTGTAAACTTTAAACTTTAGTGTAAACTTTAAACTTTAGTGTAAACTTTAAACTTTAGTTTAAATTTTGGTTAGAAAAATCTTTAATTTAATGGACAAAATCATTAAATTAACCTGGACTTGACCCAGAGTCACACATCAGAGACTCAAGATTTGACTCGGACTTGCACCTCAGACATTTGAGACCAGACTTGGACTCACTTCTCAGAGATTCAAGGCATAACTCGGGCTTGCACGTCAGGATTTGACATTCGACTCGGGCACACACATCAGAGATTGAAGATTTGACTTGGGTTTGCACGTCAGAGACTCGAGACTTGACTCGGGCTCACATGTCAGAGATTTGGCTCAGGCTCGCACATCAGAGACTCGAGACTTGATTCGGGCTCACATGTCAGAGATTTGGCTCAGGCTCGCGTGTCAGACACTCGAGACTAGACTTGGACTCACTTGTCAGAGATTCGAGGCGTTAACTTGGGCTTGCACGTCAGGATTTGACATTCGACTCGGGCACACACATCAGAGATTGAAGATTTGACTTGAGTTTGCACGTCAGAGACTCGAGACTTGACTCGGGCTCACATGTCGGAGATTTGGCTCAGGCTCGCACATCAGAGACTTGAGACTTGACTCAGCTCACATGTTGGAGATATGGCTCAGGCTCGCACGTCAGAGACTAGAGACTTGACTCAGGTTCACATGTCAGATTCATGAATTTTCTCTGACTCGTGTGTCAGAGACACAACATTTGTCTTGGACTCGCACGTCAGAGATTCAAGACCTGACCCGGACTTGTGCCTCGGAGACTTGAGACTTGGATTTGCACGTCAGAGACTCAGAATTTGACTCAGACTTCGACATCAGACACACAAGACTTGACTCAATCTCAAAGACTCGAGACCTGACTTGGAATCAGACTCGCATAAAGTGACTTGTAAACTTTCTCACGATAATAATTTATCAGTCGCTGTAATGATGAATTGAAATAAG